TGTCCAAGAGACTCACGTGTCGCTAACCACAGTTGGGCACATTGGCGAGCCAAGCTATTCTTTCAAAGAGGATGCACAGAAGCAAAAAATTAACATCATATATATTTTTACACTTGTTTAAAGGCATTTCCTCTCTGGTTAATCAAGCTTGTTAGATTGCTCAATAATACACTCTAAAAAACTGGAACAGATCATACCTGCGCATTCTTCCAAAATAACGAGCACGTTCAGTTACACCAATGAAACCTCTAGCGTCTAAAATGTTAAAAGCGTGAGACGTCTTCAGAAGCTGGTCATACCTAGCATGCCCCCAAGCAGCAATTTGTTAAATTCAAGAGGCAGTGGTTAAATATGGAGAAGAAAATTGACAATCGTAAGCATGTGATAAACATACGCAGGGATTGGAAGTCCTAAGGCAAGCAAGGAACGTGCTTCTTCGTCAAAATAATCGAAATGCTTTTGAAGGCGGTCCACGCTAGCATGCTCTAAATAATATGAGCTCATTTCCTTCCTGAAATATCCACCCAACTATCAGTCTCAAAACAGGACTAACACAGAATAATTTTGATAATGTGTGATGAAAAATCCATAAAAGTATATCAGGCTTTTACTCATTTTCCAAGAAAAGCTCCCCGTAGGTGATTCCATCAGCATATAAGATCTTTTTGAAATGGTCAACTTCCTGTCAGTTAAAACGAATGTCTAACTTAACCCAAACAAAACGGACCGATAACGGAAAAAAGTGCTTTCAACAATAAGGGAGCATAAGACTGACCTGAAGCAACATGATGATGCGCTCAAGCCCATAAGTGATTTCAACAGATACTGGAGACAACGGAAGACTTCCAGCCTAGAAAGAAGCAAACTTCACAATTATATTGTTTTCTAACAACCGAAGCAGAAAATATACTAGCGAACAAAAGATAAAATCTACCCTACGAAACCGAAAATGCAAATGAAAATTACCTGCTGGAAGTAAGTAAATTGTGTGATTTCCATACCATCCATCCAAATTTCCCAGCCCAACCCCCAAGCACCAAGCACCTGTAAATCATTCAAATGATCAGACACTGCCACGCTGAGAATATAGTGAGAAACTAAAAGAAATGGAAAACCTATAAAACATGGTTTCACACATTACCGGGCTCTCCCAGTTGTCTTCTACAAACCGTATATCGTGTGCAGTCACATCAATACCTATAAAGACCACATAAGAATAGTAAGGGAAGGATTATCCGGTTGAGAGAATTTCCTAATGCATCGTAAAGCAGAATTAAGAATCAGTACCTAAAGCAGAAAGACTGTTGATAAAGAGCTGTTGAGAGTTTCCAGGGTCAGGTTTCAATATGACCTGAAATTGAGTATGTCTTTGAAGCCTATTTGGGTTCTCTCCATAGCGAGAGTCATCAGGACGTACACTTGGCTCAACATAAGCAACATTCCATGGTTCAGGACCAAGAACCCTCAAAAAGGTACAAGGATTCATGGTGCCAGCTCCGACCTCAGTGTTACTTGGTTGCATAACGGCACATCCGACGGAAGCCCAGTATTCCTTCAATTTCATCACAGTTCAATTCAATTCGCCGAAATTTGAAAGTAGAGAATTGGAGATTGAAGGAGATGAGTGAGAATCGAACGAACCTGGAGGCGCTGAATCGCTTGTTGGAATGTAGGAACAGACGCAGCGCGGGAGATATCATCGTCGGACTTACGATAGGAATGGTGATGAACAGCGGCGGAGGAAACGGCGGAGGTACGGTGAAAACGGCGGCGGGAGAGAAAAGGGGAATGAGAAAGAGAGCGAGGGAGGAGGAAGAAGCGAGGAGAGGCGTGAGGACGAAGGAAAGAGACGATAAGAGGAAGAGAAAGATGGAGGATGGCCATGAGTGACCAGACTCTTTGTAGAAGAGAGTCACTGTGTAGTGGTGGATTTTGGAAGACGAGAGAGAGAGAGGTTTTGTGTTATCCTTGTTTTTTTTTTTTTTTTTTTTCTCGAGTTCGCGGTTCGACCTAAACTAGATGATTAGTCTAAAATTCAATAAGCAACAAACAACAACAAAAACTTAAGTAAGCTTTTTTTTTTGTCGGCCAACTTATCATTTAAGATAAAACAGAAACATTACATAGTGTTCAATACATAGTTAGGAAATCCAAGAGATAACATACGTAGATTCTTCAATTCTAGCCTTTTTTGCTAAGTCATCAGCCAAGTAATTTGCATTCCTACCAACAAACTTAAACCGAAAATTATTGGTTGCAAGCGCTTTGATGTCCTCCAGGTAGCTTTGTATCTCCATTGGGATCTTGGATGAGTGACACTGCATATCAGCTTTCTCTAAGCATCGGTATAGAGAAATTGAGTCACCACAAAAAGTCACCTGGTGATAATTGAGACGCTCGAGTTGTAGAACTGCTTCAATTAAAGCTTGAGCCTCTGCTTCAATAACAGTATTGGTAGGGTCAATGGAGGAAAAGCCTTTGATAAGCTGTTTACCATTTGCGTCCATAAGGACCCAGCCAATACCTGCCTTCTTTGTAGAGTCAATCCATGAGGCATCTACATAACAATAAAAGGAAGAGGTTGAGCTAACATTGGTGGATAAGGTTGGAGGTTGTTGACTCTTGATAGCTACAGGCCTTGAGGATGGATGGGTCTGTAGGCTATTCGCATCTTGCCATAATGAAAAATCTGATATGGCCTGATTAATAATATCAGGTATTGACCATCTTCTGTTATTGAATAGTAGGTCATTACGAGCCTTCCAGATTCTCCAACCAACAAAAGGAAAGATATGATCATTGTAAGAAGTCTTGCCTTTGAAAGAAAGCAGGTATTGGATAAAGCAGAAGAGGGAGCTATGACTTTGAAATATCTAACTTTAAAATAATTATATAAATAATCAGATAAAAAATCAAGTAATGGTGAATAACAGTTGAATATAGAGAAGTATTTCAACTATTCGTGATTAATTATCGAATAGACTCAGATCATTCAGATAGTAAACCGAGTACAAGTAATCCGTATCGTAATATTACTAAAAGATTGGGTAGAGATCAAAATTTAGATCCGAATATTTATTTTTATTTTTTTTGTTGTCAAAAGGTTGTATTAAAATAACAGCAAAGTTCTTGAAACATGTGAAACAGAGCATTAGAGCTCACAAAACAGAGCAACATCGCTTAGTAAGGAAAAAAAAAACGAAACTGAACTTGAAAATTCGAAAATAGGTGAAGCTTATCTTTGCTTATATTTATTTAGACCATGCTAATCTTTTCTGCGTCATTCCAATTTTATCGGATGTGCGAAAAGTACATAATACAATAACATGCATCCACCAAACCAAATCATATAGTTCCCAAAGAGAGTGAACACTTAATTGGTTTTCGTAAAGAAACCAGCCTATTTGTCTTCAGCCTCTCATGCTATATGAGGGCCGGGGTAACAACAGAGACCATTAGATTATTTCTTTTATAGAATACTTTGATGCTAACTTGCATTTCTTTTTGCCATAAACTGTTTTTAAGAGGTTTATTTATGAATTAATTGTCAACTTAATTTCTTCGATCAAACAATAGTAACTTTTTCAAATGTATTTTCAGATCGTTGACTATGATAGCAAAGAGACAAATAAGAGACAAGTCTTGAAATTCCCATGCCATAAAACAATAATTCGATCGGTAAACTTATGTTTCCTTTCCACGTAAGCAAGTTGTAGAAAAAACATGTAGACTGACTTTGAAGGAGTACGTAGATACTGAACAACCATCATGGAGAAAATCCTAGCCGTTTAACATACAGTATATATAATAAGGTAATATGCTCTCTACACATAGTATCTCACATTGTCTAAAGATCTCTCACGTGTGGAGATGCTCAATGCTTTGCTAAATCTGTGAATAAAAGAACCCCAAATCTATAGAAAAAGCGAATTATATAATTCAAGTAAACATGCATAATTAAGAATACTAAATAGAACATTTTCCGTCCATCCACTCAAACATAAGCGAAAATACTAATGGAGACTATGGAGTATGATGAAGTGATGACGATTTTATTGTTCTTCCCGGCTCCGATGCTTGAGACAAGGGCGAATGCAAATTGTAGAGCCGAATTACCATGTTTTCATTTTTACATGCATAAGAATACTAAATAGACGTAGGGCGAATGCAAATTATGCTTCCATGTTTTTGTTTTTTTGTCATGGGACCATTTATATAGGTGTATAATCTTTCGATTGTAAACCTAAATCGTTTTCATTTTTTATGAAATATTTACATTTTTAAGAAAATAAAAAATACTAAATAGATTTTTCGGAAAAGTAATAGCTAGTGAATTAAAATGATCTTTTTCATGAAAACTTACGTACTATTAACTCATGAGTTTCATGAAATCAAGGATGGACAAAAAAAAAAGTAGGGAAATAATGTTTTTTGTTTGGTTTCTATAAATTCACATGCGGATCTTGATTTTTGATCTGATTGCACAATTACAGATATCAACATTGAAATTCCCCCAATAGCATATATATCTAGTAACAGTATTATAGTACAAATTAAAAGAAAATGAAACTCAATCTGGCGGTCACATGTCAGCTAATTTTTTGAACAATGTTCATTAAATTAACAATCTCAAAGATTTTAGATTGAAATACAAATCTTCTCTCTGTGGTACATTTTCTTGAAAAATGGGAAAATCAAGAAAGTATCGAAAATGTACAAAAAAAAAAATGAATCAAACTTTGCCATGATCTTGAAACAATAATCGAGAGAGATCAGATCGTCATGATACGATTTCCCTCATCCAAAATTGATTTTATTTCTCTTCCCAAATATATCATATGATTTCACCACTCACCATTATTTGACTATTCTCAACCAACAAATATAAAAAAACTTTATGACTTTGATTTTCTTTTATTTGAATTTTAGCCAAATTTTGAATATATGACTTTTTGAGAAGAAAACAGAATAAACAAATAATAACCCACGCGCTATCAGACAGACAAAATCCCACAGATATGCAAAGATCTCTCAGAATCCTCTCCCCATATCATATATTTTCTCTTTTCCCTCTCTTTCTTTCTTCCTTATAAATCCATTTTCTCTCCTCTCTAATCATTCATCTCTCTGCAAAACCAAATCCTCAAAGCAGTTGATTCTTTCTCTCCCACAAGTGTCATCACGATCCTACTCTTCTTCATATGGCTGAGGTTTTGCGTCCGGAGATGTTAGATATCTCTAACGACACTTCTTCTTTATCATCACCGGAACTTCTTCATGTTCTTGCCGTTGATGATAGCATGGTTGATCGGAAGTTCATCGAACGGTTGCTTAGAGTCTCTTCTTGTAAAGGTAAGGTGTTGTGTTTTGATTTTTCATCGTTTTTGTCGAATCTGTTTTGAGTTTAAAAATCTGACATTAGTTTTGTTTTGTCTCAGTTACTGTTGTCGATAGTGCGACAAGAGCTTTACAATATCTTGGACTAGATGGAGAGAATAGTTCTGTTGGATTTGAGGTAATAAATCTGATCATAGTGTTAAATATTTTTTATAATCCATTCAAATTTGGTTTTAAAGATTTTTTTGGTTTGGAAATTTTTCTTAGGATCTGAAGATTAATTTGATAATGACGGATTACTCTATGCCTGGGATGACTGGATATGAACTATTGAAGAAGATCAAAGTAAGTTTTGTTGATTTTGTTCTGATGATGGCAAATATAATGAAGTTTGATCTAATCTGTTTTTATGGATTTTGATTTTTTTATAGGAATCATCAGCTTTCAGAGAAATACCAGTTGTGATTATGTCTTCAGAGAACATCTTGCCTCGTATCGATAGGTATATATTTTGCTATAATAACCTTAATTATGATCCTTAATTCTTGCTTAGGTCAAGATTATGTAGGACTAAAACTTACCAGACATAGTAAACTTGATGGATTTTATGCTTTTATTACTTCAGCAGATGCTGATGATTAGATTTAGAGGGTATTGTTTAGGAAACTTTTTTTAAAGTAATCACACACTAATTTAGGATTTGTGAAAAAATATACCGTTAAACGATATGTATTGACTAAATTAAATTGTTGTATAATCATAAGATTTTGTTATGATAAAAAGTTATATATATGATTACTTTTAATTATCATGGGGTTAACTTTTGTGGTGGTTGTATATTGGATCAAGCTGAGATTTGGTGTTTATTTTTAGTGGGTCCTTAAATGATTTTTAATATGGATCTTAGGAATACTAATAATATAAAATTGTTTCTTGTGGCCAAAAGAATAATCCTTCATAAGTTAAGCAAGATCTTCTTGAGATTTGATTCTATAGTAGCCGGTGACATGTTAGGCCCTCCAAAACTTTATATTATTTGTTTTAATTGTTTGGGTTGCTTAATCTTAGGTAGGGTCATTTATAAATCCCAATCCTCGTGATAGACACCTCACATGCTTTTGCTTATTACTAAGGAACCAAACCCCTCTTTTTTTTTTTTTTGATAATAACCAAACCCCTCTTTACCAAATTATGTTTAATAATTATCATATATGAGCTGGCCATTTCCTGCATCCAAAGTTATCAACTTTATAGAATTGGATCACTAATATTTTGATTATTTTTTTGGGTTCAGATGTCTTGAAGAAGGAGCGGAAGATTTTTTATTGAAGCCTGTGAAATTAGCTGATGTGAAGAGATTAAGAGATTCTTTAATGAAAGCTGAAGAAAGAGCTTTTAAGAATATTATGCACAAGAGAGAGCTCGAAGCTAATGATATCTACTCGCAGCTAAAACGTGCAAAGATCTGAGTTTACCATATTCCACGATATGATCTTTAAAAGCTCAAAGATTCACACACATGCATGTCCTGATTCTTCCGGCTTAAAATTTTTGAGACATTACAACGTTTTTGCTGATAGAACCAGTAAGGACTAAAGAGTGAAAAAGATGGGTTTTCATAAAGTAGAAATGTAAATTGTAGACTTGGATTCATTAGAGAGGAGGAGAGATACTTTTTTTTTTTTCTTTACATGAGAGATATGTAAAATGGTGTTGTTATTTTGGAATTTAATAGGAAACGACTCTTCTTTTCGCCTTCACTTGCGTGGAAATAGCATTGTTCATATATGAAAAACTCCCATTTTTTTTTTTTATAATTATCAAAAGAACTTAAATAATGATTTAGGAATGGATTAGTACATATTAGGAAATGTGGCTTAACTTAACCCAAAAGCTAGCTCAAAAGTTAAGGATTGCCACATCCTATATATTGCCCAAATATCTTAATCCTAAGCAATGTGAGACATTCTAATAGGCCTCCTCGAGATGTGGGTGGGCAACGGTCCAACGGGAAACAGTCCAAGCCCAACATCTCTAAAATACAACAAGACATGTCACTTATATGGGCCACATAGGTGGGAAACCATTTTTGTGGGAAATTTGTTTGTTGGACCAACATTGGCTCTGATACCATATTAGGAATGTGACCTAGCTTAACTCAAAAGCTAGTTCAAGAGTTAATGATTGCCACATCCTATATATGTTGCCCAAAGATCTTAATCACAAACAATGTGGACATTCTAATTCTTTATCTACTTAAAATAAAGCTGTCAACATGACTCGAGTCCAGCGAGATAAGTTAGTTATTTTAAACGTTGGACCACTTTGGATGGCTTTTCTTAGAAATTTCCCCAAGTTGGGTTTTTTAATAAGACCAAGAAATTCCTAGTCTCCTAGACTTTCATTCTATCTGAAAGCAAAGACATATAAAAATCCAGATGCTTATCCAAATCGGTTTTCGCAAACCAAACAGAATTTATTACAAATTATCGATTATAATATTGGTTCATAATTTTTCTCTACGAAAATATTAAATGTAACTTATTCAGTTATATATTTTATTTTATATAAAACGAAACCGAATTGAAACAGAAAAAAACTAAATAAAATAAAAGATAACCAAACGACTTTTGACATAAATAATTAAACACAAATTTTTATTTTTTGCTAAGAAATTACAACTCATGCATCCACTTTTTTATATAGTCGAAATAGAACCGAACCGCATGAAATTTGATTACAGTCTGGTTCATGTAGCTCATAGATAGATCAAGCAAGTTAAAAGTCGAATGGGACGCGTCTTGCTGAACGCAAAAACGGATCAGACAATTAATTTAATCCGGTTAATCTTCAGAAATCGAGCCGCTTCGATATCTTGAAGATTATCCGGTTTACTTCCGGATAAGATTTATAAGAAAAACAGAGTTAAAGTAGATTTCTTTAACTCCAAGCGAACAAATTTCCTCATTCATAAAACAAATTGTTTTACGACAAAAAGTGAATATCACTGAGTTACTTCGAAATCCCAACCGATACTGACGTCTCAAACCAAAAGATGGGTCTATATTAAAGAGACGAAGACTCTAAAGTCAAGCTACAAAATTTCCAAGCAAGAAATCATTCATAAGATTTACACAGAGAAAACTTTCCCGACCAAATGTGAATGTTTATGAAAGTTTCTGCGAAACTCCAGTCATGTCGGATGTACCGACAAAGCCATTACCTAATGTAAAACCGACACGTGGACGGCTAAGATTCCTGGCCCTTCTTCATGGGTCTCCAATAGCCAAAGAGTCAACTCAAAAAAAAAAAAACATTTTTGCAGTGAAATGGTCTCATGATGGGGTATTTTGGGTAATTAGTCCTGTCTACATCTTTCCATAAATTAACAGAGGAAGAGGACTAAGAAGCGAAAGACGACTTAAAAGAAAAAAGAGAAGAAAGTCCACAAAAGAAAAGAGATCAGATAGATCAATGGCGTTTGAAGCTCTTACCGGAATCAATGGTGATCTAATCACCGCATCATGGATGGCCTCGAAGAAAGCTTACCAAACCGAGCGCTATCACAAGGAAGAAGCAGGGACAGTCGTAATCTTCGCTTTCCGACCATCTTTCTCGGCGGAAGATTTGTTTGCTCCGGCTAATATATCTTCCTTTGGAGAAATTAAGATGAAGCGTGTTCAGTTTCCTTGTATGAGGAAAATCGGCAAAGGTGATGAAGCTACTGTTAACGAAGCTTTCCTCAGGAATCTTGAAGTTATCATTGATCCAAAAACCTCATTTTATGCTTCTGTAAGAAGATATTCTTCAACTTTTTCGCCTATTAATCGAAACATCCGAAAATTTTGTTTTTGTTTTTAGTCTCTTAAGCTTTTACTTTCTCAGGTGGAAATGGCTGTCAGCAGCAGAAAGCAGATAGTGTTCACAGGACATTCCTCTGGAGGTGCAACTGCAATCTTAGCAACAGTTTGGTATTTGGAGAAATACTTCATACGCAATCCGAATGTTTACCCTGAGCCTCGTTGTGTGACATTTGGAGCTCCTTTGGTTGGTGACTCTATCTTCAGTCACGCACTTGGGAGAGAAAATTGGAGCCGGTTCTTCGTGAACTTTGTCACAAGATTCGATATTGTCCCCCGGATTATGCTTGCTCGAAAGACGTCAATAGAGCAAACTTTGCCTCATGTTCTTGGCCAATTGGATCCCACAAATCCTTCCATCCAAGAGAGTGACCAGAGAATAACAGAGTTTTACACAACGGTGATGCGAGACACATCAACTGTTGCAAACCGAGCTGTCTGTGAATTGACTGGAACCGCAGAGGCATTTTTAGAAACTCTTTCTAGTTTCCTTGAGCTAAGTCCTTATAGACCCGCCGGCACTTTTGTCTTCTCTACCGAGAAGAGATTGGTTGCTGTGAACAACTCGGATGCCATTCTTCAAATGCTTTTTTACACTTCTCAAGCTAGCGATGAACAAGAACGGTCTCTCATTCCGGTTCGAAGTATCAGAGATCATCATAGCTATGAGGAACTGGTACAGTCAATGGGAATGAAGTTGTTTAATCATTTGGATGGAGAAAACTCGATAGGGTCTACGCTCAATGACCTTGGAGTGGTAAATCTCTCTCTCTCTCTCTCTCTCTCTTTTTATATTGTTCAGCTCCATTCTTGCATGTTTCTGCAATCATTTAACCATCGGAGTGTTTCCTTTTTTGCAGAGCACAAGAGGCAGACAGTACGTTCTTGCTGCATTAGAGGAAGAGAAGAAACGAGTAGAAAATCAGAAGAAGATTGAAAACAAATGGCCTCAAATAGTAAAGGAACTATTATGGATAGAAAATGAATACAAGCCAAAGTGTCAAGCTCATAAAATCGGGTATTACGATTCTTTCAAAGTTTCAAATGAAGAGAATGACTTCAAAGCAAACGTCAAGAGAGCTCAGTTAGCCGGTATTTTTGACGAGGTGCTAGGTTTATCGAAGAAAGGTCAACTTCCAGATGAGTTCGAGGGGGGCAGAGATTGGATCGAGTTAGCAACTCGATACCGCAGATTAATTGAGCCTCTTGATATTGCAAACTACCATCGACATTTAAAGAACGAAGACACAGGGCCGTACATGAGAAGAGGAAGACCAAACCGCTACATATACGCTCAGAGAGGGTACGAACATATAATATTGAAACCACAAGGAAGGATTGCAGAAGATGTATTTTGGAACAAGGTAAATGGTCTTAACTTAGGGTTACAGCAAGAAATTCAAGAGATTCTACGGAATTCCGGATCCGAGTGCGGATCATGCTTTTGGGCTGAGGTTGAAGAACTCAAGGGAAAGCCATACGAGGAAGTTGAGATAAGAGTTAAGACATTAGAAGGGTTTCTTCAAGGATGGATCAGAGACGGGGAAGTAGATGATAAGGAAATATTTCTGGAGGGTTCAACATTTAGAAAGTGGTGGAGTACGCTTCCTGAAAATCACAAATTGCATTCTCCGCTGCGAGAGCATATGATGGATGAAATAAGAGCTACCTGAACCTTAAGTGGTGGAGTATTTAAGCTATTGAAACACTTGCTTCTTAATTTGTGCAATAAGAAATGTCTATCATTCTTGTTCCCACTTCATGATCGATGATCTTAGAGTAAGAAACATGTTGTATGATCATTGTGAAGTAATGTAATAGCTCTCTATTCTAAAGTCAAATTTGGTTTCCACTTTATAATGATCTTAGAATATATACATTACTCTACTAAAGCCTAAAGCCATATCAAATAGCATGAACCAGTAACAAACAACCTTCCTTAGCAATTAGCATTGAAAGAAGGAAATGCACAGTGAAAGAGGACCAGAATGTCATCAGAATGGTGCCTGAGGTTTCTCAAACTGTTTAAAACATTACTAACCTCTAAACCTCAAAACAAGTGGCTATGCAAACGCTCCAGGTTCTAGCTACTACATAACCAAAGAATAAAACGATTAAAACACAACAAGTAATTTGAAACTTGTCTCATGATGGGGTATTTTGGGTAATTACTCCTGTCCACATCTTCCTATTAAACTAACAGAGTAGGAGGACTAAGAAGCAAGACGACTCAAAGGAAAAGAGAGAAGAAAGTCCACAAAAGAAAAGAGATTAGATAGATCAAATGGCGTTTGAAGCTCTTACCGGAGTCGACGGTGATCTAATCACCATATCATGGATGGCGTCAAAGGGAGCTAACCAAACGGAGCACTATCTCAAAGAAGAAGTAGGGGGAATCATTATTTTCGCCTTCCCACCATTTTTCTCGGCGGAAGGTTTGTTCGCTACGGCGAATAAATCTCCCTTTGGAGAAATAAAGATGAAGCGTAATCAATTTCCTTGTATGAGAAGCATCGGCAACAACGTTGACGCTACTGTTAACGAAGCTTTCCTCAAGAATCTTGAAGTTATCATTGGTCCAAGAACCTCATTTTATGCTTCAGTAAGTAAAAAAAAAAAAAGGTTCTGGGCATAGGTCCGTACATCCTCTTACAATGCATATTAAGAGGAAAACATGGAATAATTTGTGTCTGAATTTTACTTTCTTCAGGTGCAAAGCGCGGTTGAAAGTAAACAACAGATTGTGTTCACAGGACATTCTTTCGGAGGCGCAACTGCAATTTTAGCAACAGTTTGGTATTTGGAGACATACTTCATACGCAATCCAAATGTCCCTGAGCCTCGTTGTGTGACATTTGGAGCTCCTCTGGTTGGTGACTATATCTTCAAACACGCGCTTGGGAGAGAGAATTGGAGCCGGTTTTTTATAAACTTTGTTACAAGATTTGATATTGTCCCTCGGATTATGCTTGCTCGCAAGGCATCGATAGAGAAAATCCTGCCTTATGTTCTTGGCCAATTGGATCCTAGAAGAGCTTCGATCCAAGAGAGCGACCAGATAATAACAGAGTTTTACACAACGGTGATGCGAGACACATATACTGTTGCTTCTAAAGCTGTCTGTCAGTTGGTTGGAAACGGAGAAGCGTTTTTAGACACTCTTTCTAGTTTTCTTGAGCTAAGTCCTTATAGACCAGTAGGCACTTTTGTCTTCTCTACACAGAAAAGATTGGTTGTAGTGAACAACTCAGACGCCATTCTTCAAATGTTGTTTTACACTTGTCAGTCCAACGACGAACAAGAATTGTCTCTGATTCCATTTCTAAGCATTAGAGATCACCATGGCTATGAGGAACTAGTACAATCAATTGGTATTAAGCTGCTTAATCATTTGGATCTGCATAATCCGCCTTTGGATGGAGAAAACTCAATAAGCTCCGCTCTCGACGACCTTGGAATGGTAAATCTTTCTCTTTTCAATTTGTGCGGCTCCATTAGCTCCATCCTTATTCATGTTTCCTTTTTTGCAGAGCACAAGAGGCAGACAGTGCATTCATGCTGCATTAGAGGCTGAGAAGCAACAAGTAGAAAATCAGAAGAAGATAGAAACCAAAAGAGAGAAAATAGTAGAAAGACTAACTTGGATAGTGGAGAGATACAAGCCAAAGTGTCAAACTCATAAAAATGGGTATTACGATTCCTTCAAAGATTCAAATGAAGAGAATGACTTCAAAGCAAACGTCACGAGAGTGGAGTTAGCCGGTATTTTCGACGAGGTGCTTGGTTTAGTGAAAAAATGTCAGCTTCCAGATGGATTCGAGGGGAGCGGAGCCTGGATCAATTTAGCAACTCAATACCGCAGATTAATTGAACCTCTTGATATTTCAAACTACTATCGGTATTTAAAGAACGAAGACACTGGGCCGTACATGTTACACGGAAGACCAAGCCGCTACATATACGCTCAGAGAGAGTACGAACATAGAATATTAAAGCCAAAAGGAATGATTGCAGAAGATGTGTTTTGGAACAAGGTAAATGATCTTAACTTAGGGTTACAGCAAGAAATTCAAGAGAATCTAAAGATATCGGGATCCAAGTGCGGATCATGCTTTTGGGCTGAGGTCGAAGAACTCAAGGGAAAGCCATACGAGGAAGTTGAGGTAAGAGTTAAGACATTACAAGGGATGCTTGAAGGATGGATCGGAGACGGGGAAGTAGATGATAAGGAAATATTTCTGGAGGGTTCAACATTTCGAAAGTGGTGGAATACACTTCCCGACAATCACAAACTCCATTATCCGCTGTATCTGCGAGGGCGTCTGATGGATGAAACAAGAGCTACATGAACCTTAAATGGTCGATTATTTAAGCTATTGAAACACTTGCTTCTTAATTTGTGCAATAAGAAATGTTTATTAATCTTGTTTCCACTTCACGATGATCTTAGAATAAGAAACATGTTGTATGATCATTGTAAAGTAATGTAATAGATCTCTATTCTAAAGTCAAATTTGGTTTCCACTTTACAATGATCTTAGAATAAATACCTTACTCTAAAGACTAAAGCCATCTCAAATAGCATGAACCAGCAACAAACAACCTTCCTTAGCGTTGACAGAAGGAAATACACAGTGAAAGAGGACCACAATGTCATCAGAATATAGCCTGAGGTTACTCAAATTGTTTAAAACATTACTAACCTCCAAACCTCAAAACAATTGGCTGTGCAAACGCTCCAAATTCTAGCTACTACATAACCAAAGAAGAAAACGATTAACAAACAATAAGTAATTTGAACTTGCCCTATGCCCCTCTGTATTGCTAGTTAGCTCGATATGATAGTTTGACTCAGGTATGTTTCCTAAACACAAGTAAATAAACAAGTAATCACATTACCAAGAAGTTCCTGTTAGATTAGCATTCCACCAGAATCCTGCGTCAATATAATCAACTCGAGGATACATACCATATAGCTGAGGAGGAAGTAGATCAATCACAAGAACATCATAGCATAGAAATAATCCTAAACTCTTTCGCTGTTTAATTGAGCTGGATGTCAATTTTATGTATAACCAAACTTGACTATCAATCTGCTATATTCAGTCGCTCAACAAAGAATCAAGTAGAATGATATAACATCTATGGCCGACCTTAAAATAACAGAAGGTATAAAATGATACCTTTAGAATATTATAGATAAGCAAGGTTCTCGCAGGCTATGAGAAAGAGACTTATTGCAACTTTTTATGTATTTGAAATTCGTGTACCACCTTATGTACTCACACACCACTCTACATAACCACCACCACCACCACATGTTTCAGACGAAGAAGAGTCATTGACATAGAAGAACATATAACATAGTTCTCAGTTGCCAAAAGACAAATCCCTATACCCATATCTAAAGAGTTTTAAAGACAGGTGAAAAACATAGAACATGCGAGGAAAACAAAGAAGAAGAGAGAAAACAAACAGACACAGGCCGAGCAAAGCCACATCCTTTCTTCATGACCTGCAAAACATGCTAGACGAACGAGCAAGCCGAATAGTCAGACCACCACCTTGAACACTAGCCTCAACCTTGATTGTGTTCCTTTCATATGGCTTTCTGCAACCAGGACAACGCCCATCTCCATCGCATATCGTCTTGTGGCAGAAAAGGCAAAGCCGGAATCCACAAGGACATGGCAAGAAATTTGAATCTGTCAAGTCAAGATCTTCGTAGCAAATAGGGCACGAAGATGGCACTGTCACAGAATTAAAATGCAAATTCATGACCGGAAAACTACGCTGCTTTTCCAAATTAGGCAGACCCTGAGGACGGAGCTTATCGTCTGCCCTCCACGCCTGGTTACTCTTCTGCTTCCTTGACATTGTTCTCGGACAATCCGCCTTTGCAACCACATCAGATCCACCGATTAAATCCCTCGGACAAGCCAATTGCTTGATATCCTCATGCTCTTCACAGGACTCAGGAGGATTCTGTTTCTCATGCTTTTCATCATCAGCAGCTAAAGCATCAGCAATAGCCTCCCAATCATCCAAACACCCATCATCATCAGCATCTTCCTCCTCTGTTATATTACCAGAGCAAGAGCCACCACTTCCACTGCTACTGCTGCTGCTAAAATTAGGAATTGAATTCATGCCACTAAGAATGCTGTTAGGGCTATTAGAAAGTGACTCAATAAAGCTCTCATGACGATGTGTTCCATTGTTATTCTCTTCTTGCCCATCTAAATTCTCCACAGGACGATCTCTCTGATCAAGCTTTTCCCTCCCAATTCTTCGATTCGAATCCACTTCCTCCTTATCCCCTTTATTAATCATCGCAACTAATAACAAAAACCCAAATCAATATAAACAAATTCCAAGAACCAAATCATGTAAAGATTGATCTTATATAATGATCATTACCTTGAGAAAGCCATTGCTCACGACGAAGACCTAGCTTGCTCTGTTTCAATTTGGCCGACCTATTCGTCTGCAAACCCAAAAGTACAAATCAAAGAGTAAAATCAAAAGAATTGAAATTTGAAGAGATAAATGAGATTTGAGGAAGATTGAAAACAAACCCTTTTCTTTTTTCCGAAATCCCTCGCGCTTGGAGCTGAAGTAGCAGAAGCGTTGGTGATCGAATCAGAAATCATGGTGGTTGCAGATGATTCCGAATCGCAACAAAATCAATGATAAAGAAAGTCGAAATCACAAAATGAAGATTTCTCAAAAACCCTAATTCAGATTTGTCGCGAGAGAGAAGAAGAAGAAGAGAGAAACGTGCGATTTTTATTTTTTGCTTTGTTTGTTGTGTCTGTGAGAGAAAACGAGAGAGAGAGAGAGAGAGAGAGATAAAATAAGGGGATAACGGAAACTCCTCGTCTCCGCACAGAACTTTCCTCGTGACTAAAGTACCCTTGTTTTTGACTTTTGCACACGCTCGAATGTGGGGGTGTTTTTGTAATTCGATAGATCCGCACGTGTGAGAAACTTCTGTTCATTTAAAAACGGTGGCGTACGGTGGACTACACGTGAGGAAAGTTCATATAATTCACAAATCAGATCAGAGCTTCTAGATCAATCAGATGGGTTTCTTCTGGTTACAAACTTACATTTTACTGAAAAAAATAAAATTAAAGATTTAGAAAAAATCGAAACCACGGGTCTAAATGGTAACCGAGGAATCTGGCTGAATTGCTGAATCTAACTGAATATATTTGTGTTTTTTTGCGGAATCCGGCTGAATAATTTAAAGTTCAAATGGTAACTGCTGAATCTGACTAAATTTTTTTTATACAACCCAAATAAATTTCTAAAATTATTAACAACAGAACTTTATATATCTAAAATATTATAGTTATTTTTATACTGAATAATAAAAATAAATGGATCTTAAATTTCATTTGAACTTATTTGCACAAAAAATAAAATAAAAAATTTCATTTGAACTTTAAGTTAGATTCATTACCGAACGAACCGGAACCAAAATATTTTGGATACCTGAATGAAACCAAAATATAATTATATATCTAAAATATTATAGTTAGTTTTATACTGAATAATAAAAAATCCGAATAACCAAAAAATACTATACACTAAAAGTATTCGAAAATTTCTCGAAAATACCCGAAATGTTATTTGGGTAAGAACAAGAAGTAAACAATATTTAAAAAGGTTTGGTTCCTAATCGGTTCTTGATTCAAAAACCGAAACTTCCGAAATATTCGAAACCGAAATAATTTTTAACCGAAATTCTAAAATAACTGAATGTATACTAAACTCGAGAACCAAAATATCCAAAACTAAAAATTACATGATTGAAACCGAACCAAATACTTGAACATCCAAGGCTATCCACAAAATTAAAAACAAAAAACATAAACTATAAAAAAATATCAAAAATTATTAGTTCTTTAAAAATCCACTCATATTGATTTCCTCTCATATTGTTTGCTTATTTTCTATTTGTTGAAGGTTTGATTAATTCAATAAATCAAAAATTGAAGTGGGATCACTATGACAACAGATCAAAAATTCCACAACAATTCCACATATACAAATGATGTAACATGTATTTTTTTCTACATGAATTCCTCAGCAATTCCACAAATACATGTTACCATTTACAGCCCACAAAACAAAAGGTTGTGTTTCTGTTTTTTTTTCTATGAGTCGAGCAAACAAGTTTTCCCTATATTTTGATGGCGTGAAGCATATAGTGTAACAAGAACATCAAAACAAAACAAGAAACTAAACACGTAAAAACGTAAATTAGCTTATTAAATTTGATGTTAGGATCTTTAACAAATAATAATAAAAAAAACTAGGAGCTAGGAAACTGCAGATTAGAGTTGAACTACATTTAGGTAAGTTTGTAACTAAGTCATGATTAATTAATCGTATTCTGAACATTATTAACCTATCAAACGAATACTACTACAATAAGAAAGCTTAGGTTAGCACATAGTCTCTATGAATCTAGCAACCTGAAAAGGCAAAAAAATGCATACAAATTAAATTAGTTTTAAACAAAACAAAAATCAACAAATTAAACAAGATGTGTTTTATCGCATTAAGAAATTAACGAAGAATTATAAAATATATATATATATATAACGGGGTATTATACATCTGATTAAAAAAACGATCTGGTTTTTTTTAGTAAAAAAACCGATCTCCATATAATAACATGTGACTTGTAATGGTGAATCAATAATCATGACAACATATTAGAGCTAGATAATATCATCAATGAACCCTTTAAGATACTGATTGCATAACGATCTGTCATGTGCATTAAGAGAGACCAATGGACCTAATTTACAAAAAAGAGTATAAGCAAGTTTCAACGATTAACCGATAATACAATGATTTGGATTTAATCCTTCAAGCCACTCTAAAAATTCCAAAGGCATGAAGACATATTATCAACATGAAAAGCTGAAACATGTGGAAAGTTTTTTAATTCCAAAATTGTCCAAAAAGAACCTAGCTTTTATGCTAACACACTGTTCAATATGAAATCAAGAAAAATAAAAACTGATATTAAAGAATAAAATCTCGAAATAGACAAACCAAGACAATGGTTCAAAAGAAAAGGTGAAGTTGAGCAGAATCTGACTTAACACAACAAACAAACAAAAACCCACAGAATAATATTCGGGAATCTACCTGAAAAAGAGAGCAAGACACGAATCAATGAAAAAGACTTTTATGGATCAGAGAAAAAACAGAGTTTTGCTATGTTATCTCACATCAAATGCAGTTCTTGTGTACAAAAGGTAAAGCCAACACTCTCGATGAAAGAAAGAGGTTTCTGAGTAAATCGAATATTAAAAAGTATGTTTGTTTTGCTGCAAAACTCGAGGTTATATACATACATATGTTTGTATGTTACCTTTTTCCTAGACAACGAATGATCAATTGGTCAAATATATTTACTGTATCAAAATTCTGAACTAATTAAGCATTTCGCTTAAATAGTTTACACTTTACGTTGATTAATTGACCGAAGTAAGCAAATAATGTCCGGTGAGTAAACTAAAGACTAATTCGGTAAGAAACCAATCCAAACAAAACCTCGTACCGAATTATGATCAAATTAGTCAAACCGGTTCGGGTTTAAAACACAACACATGCTTATAGATAGATATTACATGCTAACAACTCATAATGAGTAGTAATGTGCAATGTTAGAAACTATGGTTCGTTTTCAGAATCCACCTAACGGTTGGAATAACTCGAAATGTACCCATGAGTTTCGGGTAATATTTCTTTGTTATTGTGACACTTATAAAGTAAACCAATACAAAGCTAATAAAGGTTGGTGTCTCGGGTAATATTTCTTTGTTATTGAAAGTTTGTTTGTTTTTTTTTTTTTTAATGAAAGTGATGTTTAAACGAGAATTAAGGGAAACAAATTTAATTTATGTTACATCTGCTGGTCTAAACATACCGATCACATAGACAAAAGTAGTCTTAAGGTGATTGAGATGGTTTATGGTTTAGTACTCCAAAGATCATGAATAACAAATATATTATGATTTTTTTTTTTGGGTGTGGATTCTGTTGATGATACAAAAATCGGAATACGGTATAAAACAATGGTGCGGTTAAATGTGGTAGGAGATACCGATTAAAGATAACGACATGATAAGAAAAAATAAAATTGACTAAAAAGATTACTTTTTAAATGAAAACAAAATTTAAAGCAACATTCAACATAACAAATACATAAGAATTTTTTTCTTTTGGAAAATAATATGTTTGGTTTCGTTTTGACGGTAAAAATACAACATTGTTTTTCTTTAAAAAGTGCATAAGCTTTTGTGAAAAAATAAACTGTTTTGCCGCCATTTTTGTTAATCACCTTTTCATATACCACTTGTTTTTAGTAGTAACAATATCTGAACTTTTTGTGGTAGAAGACAAACACACAAATCAAAGTCCAAGTAGTTATTCATCTAATTTATGTATAGTTGAGGAATGATTATGTGTGGTTGAGACAATAAATAACCAAGTTGTACCGATAAATTGGTCATCACTATATTTAAACACAAAATAGTGACTATATACACTATATTTAAACACAAAATAGTGACTATATACATTACTATAATACAATGCTTTAAACCGGATTGAAAATAATATAAATTGGAGAAAAATATTCTTCTGATATACTTTTTTTTGGTTTATTTCGGTTCGGCAAACCGGCTTGCATAGAATCAAATTTTAAATTTTACATTTGTTAGTTTTTAGACCAAAGAAATAAAGTCAAAGGAGTAAGAAAACGTGGTCAAACCGTCCGTCACTCACCCACCTCTGAATCTCTCCAGTCCCTATGTCACCTGAAAAAGATGGGAGATGACGTCACGCCCATATTGTTTTTTTCCATTTAAGTCACCGCACTGTCACGTTATCTTCGCCCCTTTCCACAACTCCTCTCTCTAACCCGACCCGATCCGCCCGAACTCTCTCTCCCAAGTCACCACCTTTCCCCTTTTTGCCCCGTCTCTCTCTTTCTCTTCGATTTATTGGTGTTTTGTTCGCTTACGCGATTTCTCGAAGAAAAAAATTTCGTATTCCTGGATCGAAACAAGGCTGATTCGATTTCTCGCTGTTGCTGTTGTTGATTTTGGATCTGTGTTTTGTTATCTTCGGATCGGGAATTGAAAAAACCCTAGAGATTTGATCCATTTCGTCGCGAAATTAGGGTTTTTTTTTTTACCGGTGGGTTTTGGATCTAAGGTATTGAATATTGTCTGGGGAAAAAAGGAATTTTTGAGGATTTGTTGGATTTTCGCTGAGGAGTTGTGTATTGATGTTGTTCGAAGGAGAAGATGATAGAAGGCTATGCATGGGAGGGTTTGTGAGCGGAGGCACAAAAGTCGTCGTCGGCACATGTTGATATCTTCCTCGCGTGTAATTGCGACTGTGGAAGGTGGTGGTTCTTCTTGTTTGTCCTTATCTTCATCTACCTCGTTTTCTAAGGTAAATTCTATTCGATTTCGTTTCGATTGTCCTCAGGCGGTTCTTTTTTCGTGTTCCCTTCTTGTTTTGGTGGATGGGTTTGCCCCAAGTGTTGAAATTTTGGGATTCTATTGATTTATTCGAGGAAAGGAGTGTTTTTTTCTTTACCATGATTGACCAAAGAATTGATCACATCCGCCTGGTGATTTAGGGCTTCTTAATAAATCTTACAGCTTCATACCTTACCCTTGAATGGGTGTTAGTTACTTTTTTTTTTGGTTCGCTCTTCGACTTATAGTTTGTTGTGTTTACTGTCACTAGCAGGACGGGCGCAAAATTAGTGTTGGTGACTGTGCTCTTTTTAAGCCACCACAGGATTGTCCACCGTTCATTGGGATAATTCGCTTGATCATTGCTGAGAAAGAAGGTAAGTTGAAGTTGGGTGTTAATTGGCTTTATCGACCCACAGAATTAAAACTTGGCAAAGGCACCCTTCTAGAGGCTGAGCCGAACGAACTCTTTTATTCCTTTCACGAGGATAATATACCTGCTGCATCTTTACTGCATCCGTGTAAAGTTGCCTTCCTTCCAAGAGGTGTTGAACTGCCATCTGGTATCTGCTCGTTTGTGTGTCGGCGAGTTTACGACGTTACAAACGAGCGCTTATGGTGGCTGACTGATCAAGACTATATTGATGTGAGATTATTATTCATTACCAACTGCCTTCTTCTATTTGGATTTATGGCTTTCTCTGGTAACTAAGGCATTTTTTTCACTTTGCAGGATCGACAACTAGAAGTAGACAAGTTATTGTGTAAGACGCGTTCAGAAATGCATACAACATTACAGCAGGGTGGTCGTTCTCCCAAGTCCATGAATAGTCCAACAACATCACAAGCGAAAGATGGCATACAGAACAATAACTCTTTTCTTTCTCAGGGTAAGGGAAGGAAAAGAGAGCGTATGGATCATGGTTCCGAGTCTGTTAAACGGGAACGTTCTTCTCGAGTAGATGACAGTGGTTCTGGCCCCCTCAGAACAGAAAGCGGTTTAAAGTCTGAGATTTCAAAATTTACAGAGAAAGGTGGTCTGGTGGATTCGGAAGGAGTTGAAAAATTGTTGCAGCTCATGCTGCCTGAGAGGAATGAGAAGAAAATAGACTTAATTGGCCGTGCGATTCTTGCAGGGGTTGTAGCGGCAACAGACAAGTTTGATTGCCTTAGTCGTTTTGTCCAGCTCAGGGGATTACCCGTGTTTGATGAGTGGCTGCAGGAAGTTCATAAAGGGAAAGTTGGGGATGGGGGCAGTCCCAAAGACAGTGATAGGTTAGTAGACGATTTCCTCTTAGTCTTACTTCGTGCTCTTGACAAGCTACCTGTGAATCTCAACGCGCTTCAGACTTGTAACATTGGAAAGTCTGTTAATCATCTACGGTCACATAAAAATTCAGAGATTGGGAAAAAAGCAAGGAGCTTGGTTGACACATGGAAGAAACGAGTTGAGGCAGAAATGGATGCGAAGTCTGGATCCAACCAGGGTGTTTCCTGGCCTGGAAGACTGAGTCATGGGGGAAGGCATTCAGGTGGTTCCGCGGAGGCAAACAAGACATCATCATCACATTTACATGCTTCTAAGTCAGTCTCGGTCAAACAACAGGTGGAAAATAACCTGAAGTGTGTAGCCACGTCGCCAGGCTCTACAAGATCAGCCCCATCTCCGGGATCTGGTGGTACTATTTCTAAAGATGGACAGCAACGAAATGCTGGGGCTGGTGGTGTATCTGAAGTCCTAGCTGCAGTAAAGGATGAGAAAAGTAGCAGCTCCAGTCAGTCCCACAATAATAGTCAGTCTTGCTCGAGCGAGCATGCTAAAACAGGCAATTTATGTGGAAAAGAGGATGCAAGAAGCTCAACTGCTGGTTCAACTTTGAAGAAGTGCTCTGGTGGCTCTTCAAGGCATCGGAAATCAAACAATGTGTTTCAAGGTTCATCTTCGTCAGCATCCCCTAGGGAAGCTGGTTTTAGTAGAAGCTTCTCATCACAAAGGAATGTCCCTTCTGAGAAAATTTCTCAATCAAGTTTGACATCTGAAAAAACTCTTGAGGTTCCTCTGACTGAGAGTTCCGGTAATAAATTGATTGTTAAACTGCCTAATCGGGGTCGCAGTCCTGCTCAAAGTGTGAGTGGAGGCTCTCTGGAGGACCCTGCGCCGGTGAATAGCAGAGTTTCTTCACCTGTGCATGCGGTGAAGCAGGAACTGTGTGACAATAACGTGAGAGAAAAAAATCATTCTTATCGAGCTAACGTGAGCTCTGTCTTGAATGCCGAGTCTTGGCAAAGCAATGAATTAAAAGATATTTTGACAGGCTCGCAAGAGGCAGCTGGTTCACCACTTGTTGTTGCTGGTGATGAGCGCGGAGGGGCTCTTAAAGATTCTGATAAAGCAGCTGGTAATGTTAAAGGCACATCTTCCTTAGGAAATGATTTCAAATCTGGAGAAAGGCATGGCGGAACACTCAGTTCGATGAATGCTTTGATTGAAAGTTGTGTCAGATACTCCGAGACAAATGCGTCTTTGGCTGGTTCGGATGATGTTGGAATTAATCTTCTTGCTAGCGTTGCTGCTGATGAGATGTCTAAATCGCCTGTTGCATCACCCTCAGTATCTCAGCCTCCAAATTCCTTGATGAATGAAAATTCTACTGTAGGGAACAATACAAAGCTAATCGCTTCGGATGGCTTGCCTCACGAGCAACATCAAGCTGCTCGCACCACTGTCAGTAATGAGCAAGGTGAGCAACATGTTAGCAGTAGTGGCACACAGTTGGAGTCAGAGATAAAAAATGAGTCTAAGACTGGAGATCGTGATAAGAGCTCGAATTCAGAGACCGAAGATCTGCAAAGGTTGGTGGATAAGCGCCTAGAGAACAATGACAATTCAGATGGTGCCGTTGCTTCGCCTGTTTTGCCCACAAAAGCTATCAAGGAAAAGATTTTGGATGATAGTGACTCTGGGGAAGTAAAGGATATAAAGGCTGATGTTAAATCAGAGGCTGATTGCACATCTGACTCAACAAAAAGAGTAGCAAGCTCAATGCTAACTGAATGTAGAGATGTAAGTCAAAAGGTAGATTCTGTGGCTGTTGAACACACTCCCTTGGACCGTGTTGATGATAAGAAAGAAGAGAAACCCCCAACGGCGTTGAGTTCTGAGCTAGTTAAAAAAGTGGAAGAAGATGTACCAGTTTCTTCTGGAATTTCAAGGGGTATGGATGCAGTAAGCATTGATAGACCTATAACTGAAATGGTCAATAATATGGCGGTTAATCATATAGACCAAAAAGATATAAAGAAGATTAAGCAGGATTGTGATGCCTTTGTGGGTGCTATAAAGGATGCCTCAGCCGGTTTGGACTCATCTGTAACTAAAGGTAAAGTTGAGCCTGTGGAGGGGAATCTAGAAAATATTAAAGTCAAGGAACGGTGCTTAGGATTAAAAGCTACTCCAGGAGTATCACCTAAAGATGCAGAGGATCTTAAGAGACCGAATGGGCCTAAAACCAGTGATGCTGATGGAGATGAAGCGGAGGAATGTACGTCTGCTGCCAGAGATGCTTCTTCCGTTTCAGCTGCAGCTTCAGCTGGCTCTGAGATGGATGCCAGAGTTGAATTTGATCTAAATGAAGGTTTTGATGGAGACGATGCAAAACATGGGGACTCAAATAACTTCTCTGGATCTGTATTTTTGACGCCTACTCCTCTACAACCAGTTAATACCTTGCCTTTTCCGGTGGCTCCTGTATCTAGTGGAATTCCTGCATCCATTACTGTTGCTGCTGCTGCCAAAGGTCCATTTGTTCCACCTGAAGATCTGTTGAGAAATAAAGGGGCTGTTGGTTGGAGAGGATCTGCTGCCACTAGTGCCTTCCGCCCAGCTGAGCCAAGAAAAGCTCAGGATGTGTTACTGAGCATTAACAATACCTCTACATCTGATGCATCTACATCTGCTGGCAAACAGACAAGGACGTTTCTGGATTTTGATTTGAATGTACCTGACGAGAGAGTCCTTGAAGATTTGGCTTCCCAAAGAACTGGAATTGCCACAAATTGTACATCTGGTATCACCAATAGTTTTGATCAAGTACGTTCTGGGGTCATGGGTTCCGCGCTTGATCATTCTTCTGGGGGCCTTGATCTTGATCTAAACAAAGTTGATGATTCAACTGATATGAACAACTACAATATGAGTAGTAGTCATCGGCTAGATTCATCTTTTCAGCACGTTAAATTACCATCGACTGGTGGTCGTAGAGATTTTGATTTAAATGATGGACCTGCTGGTGATGATGCGGCTGTTGAGCCATCTATGGTTCTAAATCAACATTCACGAAGTGGCTTGCCCTCACAACCATCTCTCTCTGGAATACGAGTGAATGGCGAAAACATGGCTAGTTTCTCAACTTGGTTTCCTGCTGCTAATGCTTATTCAGCAGTGAGCATTCCTCCAATTATGCCTGAGAGAGGTGATCAACCTTTTCCAATGATTGCCAATCGTGGACCACAGAGAATGTTGGGTCCAACAACTGGTGTTTCCTCATTTGCCCCTGAAGGGTACAGGGGTCCGGTTTTGTCGTCGTCTCCAGCCATGCCATTTCAGTCCACAACGTTCCAGTATCCTGTCTTTCCTTTTGGAAACAGCTTCCCCATTACCTCAGCGAATTTCTCTGGTGCTTCTACAACACACATGGATTCTTCTTCAAGTGGGAGAGCTTGCTTCCCCGGTGTGAACTCTCAAATATTGGGTCCTGGAGTACCAGTTCCGTCTAATTACCCAAGACCTTATATCGTTGGCCTCCCAAATGGTGGTAGCAATGGTGGAGTTTTGGACAATAGTGCGAAATGGTTTAGGTCAGGACTTGACTTAAATTCTGGTCCTGGAGGTCATGAAACGGAGGGAAGAGACGAATCAACACTTGTGGCAAGGCAATTATCCTCATCTGCTTCCTTACCGTTGAAGGAGGATCAAGCAAGAATGTATCAAATGTCAGGTGGTGTTCTGAAGAGGAAAGAACCGGAAGGTGGATGGGATGGATATAGGCAATCCTCATGGCAATAACAATAGCTCAGAATCTCAGTAGGCCACATGAGCTTGTAAGCCCTCGAAACCCACAAACCTTCGTGTTTCATGGCCTCTTCTTTTTTTTTCCTCCTCTATTACTAATATTTCAATTACATTTTTACTCTGCTAGTTACTAAGAGATGAAAGTGATTGTGATGCTGCCACAAGGCTTCATTGGCTGGCCTGCTCTGTTCAAGATGAGGAATGGGTGAGTCAATCTGCGACTTAACAGTGGTCTCAACCTTTTTAAGAACACAAACCTGAACTCTTGGTTTCACCATCATGTAGATCTTCCAAAAACAGTCCCAAATTCACCGGAGTGGCCATTCTCTTTCATCAACAAGGTTCTCAGCGAGAGACCCGCATCACCTCCTCCCCACAAAGAGTTTTAAAAGGTGAAACACACTTTTTGGTCATTTTTCATGCATGTGTGTATCTCTATACACCGGCACAAAAGACTAGAGATAAAACAAATGTTAGTGGCTTTTGAGTGTGTTCAAAATTATGGTAAAAAAGTCTTTGGCATTGTGGCTTTACATATATGTTCTGCGCTAGGTGATGGGGTTGTATTATAGACACAACAAGATTAGTTACTTCTTTTTTTCTTTCTTCTTTTCAGTTTGTAGATTTATTACATCTTGTGCTGGTGCTGTTTGAAATTTACATGCTTCTTCCTTGCACGCTTTTGTCTTTTGGTCTCGGATTCATAATGGGGCCAAATAAATTCAAATTTGGGAATAAGGAGGGTCCAACATTTTTCGAAAGAAATAAGTGTTAGCTACGTGAACCACAAGGATTTGGTTCACCACCAAGCTCTTCTTCTCTATAGTCTCAACGTGTCGTCTTTGGCTAAAACAATTCTATAAGGGTCAAACCAAATCGAAACAAACAAACATCTGGTTTACATGTACAAACAAAATCGAAGAAGCTACTCATTATCCCTGCAAAATCTATGTATATTCCGACTTATCACAACCACAACTGGGCAATTAGAAAAAAAAGAAAGGAAGTGAACAATCATCAGATGGAGTTCAGTCATCATCAATGCTTCCCGCACAGAATGTTTCTGCAAAATAGAGAAGCCCGTCTACAATCGTTAATGCCTTTGAGACTTCACATAAACTTTGTATGAAGCTAAAGGTTGCATAACCAAATTCCAGTGATTGTAATTTTACATAATATCTTAGTTATATATATAAAGAGACTCTAAAGGGAAGCTTATTTCAACTTACGAGAGACATCCATTGTGCGGCTTCTGCTTCTTCTTCTTCTTCTCCTTTTGCTTCACCGCTGGTTTAATTACTACTTTGATAGCAGCATCAAATACGGCTTTCACATTCTGCAAAACCCATAAAACCAAAGAAAAACATATATATAGATAATATATAGTTTGCGAGTAAAGAGTAAACTAACACTAATGACTCCTATGTTTCCTAACACACACGTACAAGTGTACCTGTTGAGTTTTTGAGCTACATTCAATGTAATACGCCGCTCCGATATGCTTGCGGAGTTCCTCTCCCTGGCACACATGAATGATTATATCGGATAAAACCTAGAGGAAGAGAGAGTCTAGAAAATGTCACAACATTGCTTTTGGTTTCTACAGGTTGAAAAATCACACCTGTGATGTAGTTACGGGGGACAGTCCAGGCTGATCAGACAAATAATGTTTATCTTCACGAAGATCTATATAACAAAACATTGTAAGAAACATTGTAAGAAACATTACATATATATGTGTGATTCTGAAGCACTAGACAAGGAAATATGTTGGCGTCACTCTTATTGCTATCTTACCCATTTTGGTACCAACAAGCACAATGGGGACTCCTGGTGCAAAGTGTTGGAGTTCAGGGATCCACTGACCAAAATAAACACTTGACAAGCATCAGAAAATCACATTTCATTCTTTGTTTTCCCAGTAAGAGAAAGAGTGAATCAAAATTTCACAGACCTTTTTAAACACATTCTCATAGCTAGCTCGGCTGATCAATGAGAAAGCCAACACAAAAACATCTGCTCCTCTGTAACTTAAAGGCCTTAGTCTATTATAGTCTTCTTGCCCTGCAAACATATACAAAACTCTTAACACTCACCAATCTTCAACACTCACTATAAATTTCTCTATCTAAGAATCTCAAATCAAAAGCAAACTTTCTAGTTGTTAGAAATGGTGATGATGATTAGAACTAAAGAGTAGTGACTTGGTTATTCTGAGAAATTAAAGAGACGGATACAGAAATGTTACTTACCGGCAGTGTCCCAAAGCCCTAAGTTCACAGTGATGCCTTCAACGACAACATTAGCACTAAAGTTGTCAAAAACTGTTGGTATGTAGTCCTGAGACAATTCATCAATCAAATCTTGAACATCACGAGAACAACAAATGCGCAATAGAGTAAGAAACACTAAGAGAGGAAACACTGGTGAATCAAGAAAGCCACTAACTTTACAATGTAAGATTTTCAAAAAAATGAATCTTTTATACACAATCCCTAAAAAAAGGAGCTAACTTTGAAATTCTGGGTGAACGAGTTGTAATTTGACAGACCCAGAACGATATTCAACTAAAAGTAACAAAATTGGAGATGCCCGGAAGAACAATTTGATGAAAATCGGCGAAATTGTGATTTACTTGATCAGAATTTCAACTTACAGTAGGGAATTTGTTGCTAGTGTAGCAGATGAGCATACAAGTTTTTCCAACGGCACCATCTCCAACAGTCACACATTTGATGAATTTTGAAGCATTCGTAGCCATTCTAACTCAGAAAAAGCAAATCACTTTCAACGAAGAAACGCACAAAAACCAGAGAGAGTGACAAAGAGAGAGAAGTAATTGAGAGATAAATGAAGACTATCAAGTGATTAGCATGAGCAAGTGTAATAAACTTATGTTTAAAAAAACTCAACTCTCTCTTTTTCTATTTTCTTTCAATATTTTCAAAGTTTCAATTTTGTCTCTCTCGTTTTTTGGTTTGAAGACTGAAGAGAGGGAAAGAATAGGGGCTCACATGATCTATCCATCCAATCCACATGGCTTTTCTTAACCTTTTTCTATCATTTTTTGGCTTTTATAAAAAAATAACATGTGTCATTTTGCATCAACTAAATAAAAAATTTAACATAGTTAAATGAAAAAAATAAAAAATTCTCAGTTGTATTAAATCCTCCATCAATAGTATTTTTAATTGATTTCTTCTAATAAAATAAAATAAAAGTAAAAAATCTTGCTAATGTATCAACTATTATTTTTATTAAACGGCCAAAAAGGAAAAAAAACTACTATTTTTATTACACGCTTCTTATTTATCAATAGTCATTATTCGATAATAAAAAAATTTACAGTTTAATCTTTGCTACCTAACCTCTTCTTAATTTAGTATTTTACCTTGAAACTATTCTTACTATTATGTTTTGTGGTTCATATACGATCATATGATCTTTTTTTATTTTTATTTTTGTATCTTTTGGTAAGTTGGTAACATTGACAATGACATGCAAGTTTTTTTAAGTAATAGACTTTTGAGACATTAGACATACCAAATAATCCAAGACACAAAAATTCTTTCAGATATATGTAAAAACAAGGAGAGATCTAAAAATGTTGGCTTAAATGACTCTTCAATTTTTTTGCTTTCTTTTTTTTCTTCTTATATGAAAACTCTTGAAGCAAATGAATAGTTAGTTTTACATATGTTTTTCAAATTATGTCACTTCAGTAGTATCTAATCATGAGCCTATTATGATATGCGTGGTTGAAGTAATAGATCACGAGTGAGTACATAAAACAAAGAATTGTTTGTTTATAATGAAGTTAGGCAAGTTTTAAACTATATAAGTAACATAATTACATACAATTGTAACAATATATCATATATTGTTGTTGTATGTATTTATAATAGTACAAAAAATTTAAAATCTTAGGTATATATAAAATTAGATTTATATATGTAAAATGTATAATTGATATTTCGAGTCAAAAATGAATCTAAGCATAAAAATTATAACTACATAAATTAGCAACAAAGAAAAATATAATTTAGTTTTAACAATTTTTAAAACAACAATCCACGCGTAGCGTGGATATTCACCTAGTGTATTAAAAATACTAAAAAGCAAAGGTAATCGCATGTTAAGAGCGTAATTTCTTTTCTTTTTTTCTTATTCTTTTTCTTGGCCCTTTGTTTTATTTAGCAATTATTTTAAAAATATTTGTTAGTATATTTTGTCATCTTTTCTTTTTAAGATTCTGTCATTACCAATCATTTTCTTTTTTAAGATTTTGTCATCACCAATCTATATATACATTTTTGAAACACTTTTAACAAATAAATCCTGGGGTTGGGCAGTATTTACAAAGAATGCCATTGGCATTTATTATTATTTTTACAAAATTTAAATAAAAGATATTAACCAAACAATATCTTGCCTAATTTGTTTCTAAAAATCTCTACACAATCTTTCCATATATCTTCAAAAAAATTTATAGAAAATATTTATATTAACACTTTGCATAGCAATAAAAATACTAATTTATAATAATCAAAATATTCACATAAAAAAATCAAATACACATACAGGAAAAAGTATTATATCTACATCATTTAAATCGTTGCTTTATTTAAATAAAAAAACATAAAAACTTGAAATCATATACTTTATATGATAAATTTAAATTATATATTAGTAGTATAAATTTAAAATCGTTCAAAGAACGGTATACTACGGGTGAGATCCTAAAATTATTAGATTTTATAACAATAATAATTTATTTTCTTGGATTTTATAATACTAATAATTTAGCTAACGAGATAATATAGACGGATTTATATGGGATGACGGGTTTGGGTCAATATTAATAAATAACGGTATATCACGGATGAAATCCTAAACTTAACAATAAAAATACAATTATACGATCTTAAACACAAAACAAAAGAAACAATATTAACAAAACAAATCCAACTTAAATTTAAAATTTTTAGTTATAAAAAAACCAACCCACGGTATACTGCTGAGTAAAATATTCAAAATTTTAAAATCCACCATACATCGTTACTTAAAAAAAATGTATGTTTTCGTATCTATACTTCAAAAATTGATAGATAGATATCTACATTTAAAAATACAAATTAATATGATATATCTTCAGTTAATTTTTTTAAAAATAACATTACATTTTTTAAAAAAATATAGCGTCGCGGTATACCGCGGGTTAAATTCTAGTTAATAGTATAGATTATATCAATAAATACATGTTTCGGAAGAATAGCTACCAAACATATTGATCAATTTTAGTAAAGTATAAATTTGTTATCTTAAAACAAATGCATTAAAGCTAAATTGGGTTTTCATATATGATTTGTGGGTTCGATGAAAGTAGTTACAAAATAAAGGGCTGTCAACAAAATATAATTGACCCAAAAGGCCCGTGTCTTTGGCCCTCTTCATAAACTAAAATTTAGTCCAATTGGTTAGGATATTAGTCCAAGAAACCCTAGTCGTTTACCTTCGCCGGAGAGAAAGCGATCCTAGAGATACTAGAGAATAGAGATCTTAGCAAAACGCCAAGAAAAGAGAAGATTAATGAATGGATTTAAAATAATGAAGAGTCTTGGAATGAACCACGGCGTGTTGACAGACCTGCGCCTCGTAGGTCTTGCTACCTCCGTCGTCTCCGTCACTGACATCCAGCAGTAGCTAGCTGGTAATTAATGCCACAGACGAACTGCATGTTGCCGGAAACAACCGTCTGAAACTTGAGTGACGAATTGCTCTGTTTGTTGAACTCGGAGACGGCAAACTTGGCGATGACATCAATGCAAGGGTCCTTAATGTCTTTGATGGGAGACCAACCACCATCTATACCTCCCGCCAGCTCCTTCATCATCATCTCTTTGACCCTTATCTTCTCATCTATTACCGTATCCATGTCTTTTTGTGTGTGTTTGTTTAGCCTTCTCATTGTCAACCTATTTATATATTAATCTAGGTTTGTCACGCGTTGGCACAGATCCAAAAAAATCGGACAGTTACAACAAAACGAAAGAAAGGAAATTAATTAACTATCTTGGAGATTTTTGGAAGAGAGTGAGGAAAGAAAAACTGAGATAAAGAAAACTTCTCAGAATGGAAGCATTTCGATGAGGTGGAATCAGAGATAAGGCAAATGATAAGAGAAATGGGACAACCATCAAATTGAGATAATAAGCTAGTACATAGTACTCTACCTGATGATTTGTTAATAGACAAGACAGGTTTGTTATTTGTTAATGATATATAGATAGCGGATTTTAATGGAATACTCTTCATGAAGATGACATGAAAATAAGCTAAAATCCGAAATTGTAATATCTTTCAATTCAAAAACAGGTGCGATCATTCCTAATCATCTTAAGTGCATGATATAGACTATGTTTCTTGGTTAACCTTAGGTTGTACATGAACTCTGTCCGTGTAACCTAATTATTGTTAATTTAATTTATGGTCAAATTTTAAGTTGATCACACACATTTCAATGCAGTTATTCACTGAATTAGTTGATCCACTCTTTATATGTGCTACTTGTAACATTGTAATAGTTGCCCATATAATGTGTGATGAACTTAATAATTAACCAACCGGAAAGCAAGAAGATATATCTTCTCTTGCCTATTTAGATCTCCACCTCCACTTTCTTACGCTTTCAACTTCCATTAAAAGCAATCAAAGAAAAAAAAATGAAGCAAGCATTGTTCGGGTACTTGTTAATATCAAAGGTTAGGGAACTTGTTTGGGTACCAAGCAAGCATCGCAATTCCGCAGCACCCTCTTGGATCAGCAATCCCTCTCTCGATCCTAATATATCCACCCTCTCCCAATTGGGGACCATATGAATTCTTCACTATCCAATACTTTATTCACATTTGGGTCCGTCATGTACCCGACCAAAGCCATCACGTGGTTCAAATCCGTTCCACAGTTTTCTGTCATCACTTTGGATACATTTTGCAGGGAGTGATGACGGAAAACTGTGGAAAGGTGGATTTATTAGGATCGAGGGAGGGATTGCTGATCCAAGAGGGCGCTGCGGAATTGCGATGCTTGCTTGGTACCCGAACAAGTTCCCCAACCGTTGAGCTCTTGATCGACAAGTTATTTAAAATTATATTAATAAACAAAATTAATGCCAAATAGGCAATGTTATGAATCTTATGAATAACCAAGTGAGTAGTTTTATCTTTTATGGCGTTGTATAACCCGTAAAATGATTTGACACTCTCCCAACGGTATTTTGAAAATAAGCAAAATAAAAATAGTAAAATGTATGCACACATTATAAAATAAAATAAAAAGAGAAAAAGAAAAAGAAAAAAAAAGACATTAATAAAGCTATAAGTGAAAATTTTCACTAAGCAAAAGCAAAATTTAAACGAGAAAAACATTATCCAAAAGGCCCAAAACGGATTCGGTGCTCTTTCTGACGTGAACGTTAGAAGCAAGCCCAGTGGACTGCTTGTATCCCAATGTTATTTTTCCAACACTCTGGAATCTGACCCGTTTAGCAGAACCGGCTCGTCGTCACACGGTCTCTGGTGACGAACAGGCCACGCGTGACTGCATTTTTTTTTTTTACTTGGCTCTCTTTTAATTTAATTTTGGCATTGGTAAAGCTGCTGCTGGAGAAGATGAGTGCGGTAGAACCAGACATGGAAGATCTGTTCCAGGAGAAGAAGCGTGTCAGGAATCCTCTCGTTCCTCTCGGTTTGTCCTGATTCCTTCATTTTCCTCTTTCTATTGATCTCATTTCACGAAATCTATTTTGGGCTTTCAGATCTCATTCTCTATAACATTTGTGGTTCTTTTTTTTTTTTTTTTTTTGTTACAACTTTGTGTCGGTATGTATGACTTTGTCTTTAGAGAATCTCAATTCTCCTTGTGAATAACTCTATAGAGAATATCTTTTTCTCAGATTGTAGAAAGTAGAAACTCTATTCATTATAAATGTAGGTGATTGTTTGTGGAGCTGAAAACACATTTGAGAATTAGTAAGAACAAATTCGTTTATGATATCAGTTTCTCGAATTATCTATCGTCCTGATTCTGATCTTTAGAGGTTGTCCTTTGGCAAATTGTGTGAACAACTTGTAACTTGGACCTCAGCTAGCAAATCCATAAACATTGACAGAGACAACATTGTTTCATAGTGTCAATCAGTCACAAAATTCATGGCTTCCACTGTAAAGAGATTTTGAAATTAACGAGGAATATTAAAAGTTTTAACTTTGTTGCTGTTTTCTGAGTAAGCTCCAGTATTGTCTTGGACTCTTGCTTGGTTACTACTATTAAGACGTTCAAAATTATTAACTCCTTGTGAATAACTCTATTGCAGGTGCACTTATGACTGCCGGAGTGCTTACGGCTGGGCTGATTAGTTTCAGAAGAGGCAATTCTCAGTTGGGTCAGGTTTTGATGAGAGCTAGAGTGGTCGTCCAGGGTGCTACTGTCGCTTTAATGGTCGGAACCGCTTATTACTACGGTGATAATCCGTGGAAGAAATGAGCTGCAGCTACTTGTTCACATAATTGAGATGACACTCGGGAAATCAGCGGGCAAAGGTGTGTGGTTGCTCTCGCTCCGAGTGTAGAAATCCGTGGTCTTGCTAGGATTTATAATTTGTAAGGGCGTATAATATTACATGATTTGAATAATTTAAAGAACTGAAAAATGTCTTTTGTATCTTGATCAATTGATTATATTGATTCGAAGAAATTCTAGACTATATCATCTTTACTCTTACCTGTCAAAATCTCATATTCTTTCATCCGACAATCTATGAGTTATTTATTTGTTTACAGTTATGATTGAGTTTTGACTTCTTGAAAGATCGTTTGTGAAACATGGGACGATGAATCATTACAAAGTATTCACATAGACTCTATTTTCCGAATATATAATGGCAAATGAGTGGAAGGGAAGAGATTATGTATTAGAAGGCAAGCTATATGATTTAACAACATCTAAGTGGAAGACAATGGTGGGCCTAATAGAACTTTGTTTTCCATAAGTGTAGTTTTCCTAATCATAATCTTGTTTTTTTCCAGCTTATTGCGGTTCTTGACCTTTCTAAATGTGAAATCCTAATCACATTTTATGGTCTTTTTAGCCAATAATGATTATGGTTTAGCTAATAATCATGTCACCAACACATAAAGATGGGACCAATGAGAAGCTTTTGGAATGATACACTTTTAAAGCGTGTCTGGATTTGTGAAATCTCATGACTCTATATTTTACAGTGACTGATCTCTGAGCTTAACTCAAACTGCTTTTTTTCTCCTCAAACACCAAAATGTTTAGGTTACTTTTGTCTGAAATCCATGAAACAGAAGCTCTTTCACCTAAATCTTCATCTGCAGCAACTATTACTCTTATGAACCAGAAAGATCCATCTTCAAGCTCTATAGTCTCTGTTTTATGTTTAGTTATCTCTGTTCTTGCTCTTATCATCGTCTTCCTAGGTGTCCTCTACTTAATCTTCAAATTTCTCCGCAAGTCCTCGACTTTATTTCCCATTCCCCATTTCAATCCCAACCCAGATCTCTCTTCTTCCTCCTCTCCTCAGCTCCAGCACCTCTTCTTCCTCCATGACTCTGGTCTAGACCAGACCTCCATTGATGCACTTCCCGTGTTCCTCTATGGTAACGTAACCATGAGTCTGAAAGAGTCTTTCGATTGCGCTGTATGTCTCAATGAGTTCTCTGACACAGACAAGCTCAGGCTACTCCCAGTCTGTAGCCACGCATTCCATCTTCACTGTATCGACACATGGCTTCTCTCCAACTCTACTTGCCCTCTCTGCAGACGATCACTCTCAACCTCAAACGTCTGCTATAACCATGCTGAGGCTCTTGTCGTCCCCTTGTCCGGGCATCAGCAGGTCGACGAAGGCAAATCCTCCCTTGCTAAAAGAGTCTTTTCTGTTCGTCTTGGGAGATTCAAAAGCACGAACGAAAGTCAAAGTCAACGACACGATGTCAAAGATGAAATTGGTGTAGGAATGCCAAGAAGGTGTTACTCGATGGGCACGCAACAGTATCTCGAATGCGATCAAGATTTTGTGGTGGCTCTGTCTTCGTCTCCTCGTGAGGGAAATACCGGTAATAACTGCTCCATTCACGAGGGTGATTCGGTAAAACAAGACTCTGGTGGTTTGGGTAGGCACTAATGTATTGTAGTAGGAAAGAGAGTATGTCTATGTCAAAGATCTGGTTTTGGTCGGAGAAGAAGAAGAGAGTACTGTAGTTCGGTTTATTAAACAAAAATAGGTGGGTTTTTTTTGTTGCATCTTAGTCTTCCTTGTTACTACAGACATGAAATCGTTAAGGAATAGTTTTTGTGATTAGATAATGCGAAAAGAAATAATATACACGGATTAATTCCTATTTAGAGTTGTTTATTTAGTTATATTGTCCAATGATATGAAGACTTTGGTAGCTCTATTTTGTACATTCGAACTGTGAGCATTGTAGTGAAGTGTTTGTGTCTCAGGGTTTGTAAAATGGAATATAGATATTAAACTTAGAAGAGTAGGGAGGTCATTCCCATACAATCAAAGAACAATATGGGTTGAACAGAAAACCAGAGCAGAGTAATGAAGACAACAAGAGGCGAGAGAGATATTATTGATGCTAGTACTACAACAACAGAGGTGGGATAAGTGGAGTCTTGTCTTGGAGTGGGGGAAGCCAGAAAGGGGCCCGTATCTACGAGGCTTAGATCCTTTGGGGATGTTAAAAGTGCGGAAGGTATGGGTGGTAGATGGTAAGCGGCGACTCCAGGGTCTATGAAGTAGACAGAGTTTGGGGTGAGGCCAGGGAAGGAGCTAGCATTGAGACAGAATGGCTCAGCCTTTGAAATGAAAATGCAGAGATCCCCGATATCCTCGGTGTAGCAAGCCTTGTTCCCCTCCTCGAGGCTGAAGACCATGAGACGGTAAGGAGTCTGGTTGACGGAGACCACTTCATCTGAGTCGTTCAATGCACCCTTGCTCTGGCTGTATCTACAAACAAACAAGATATTATTTAAGATGCGAATTAGTAGCACAAGAGAATAGAATAAGATTCCATGTATATATACATCTTAATGATGAAAGATTGGCCCGTGGATGACTCCACTAGGTGTTCGCTGGTCCTGAAGCAGGAGTCCAATAGCTCCCACTCGGACTGTGGCAACTGTGGGATGTTGCAAAAGTGGAGCTTGTGAAACTTAGGGGTGTGGTCACGGTTGATGAGATCCCATGCGCTGGTATAATGGGCTCCAAGAGTGGGCATATAGAAGCAATGATCCCTCTTGGAAAACATGAGGCGGGAGTCGTAAAAGCTGGAGTTTGGGACCATGATGTTGGTCCACTCCGAGTCAGAAGCTGAGCTGGGGTCCCCAGAATTTAACGGCCACTACACAGTCGTCCTGCTCGGGAGAAGAGGACATGGACACACTAGTGACGATGGTTGTTCATTGGAAAGCTTGTTCGAGAGACGGCTGAGAAGTAGAGGAGACATTGCAGATGTATATCCAAAGAAACCTAATTCCGATCCCTCAATTTGTACACTCAGATGCCCTTGCCCACCAAGTTTCCTTTGATGCCATATATATATATGTGTGCCATTTTGCCCACAAGGTTACGCAACTAACGGTTACTTACCATAATCTTTTTTTTTTTTGATGAATTACTTACCATAATCTTTTGTACAACAATTAAACTTAACAAAGAAACCTCGTTACTTTTTCTCAACAACATTATACAATATTCGGTCCTTAGAAAACAGAAATATAATCAAATCAAAATATTAGACCGTTGTGATATATTTTACATGACACGTTGAAAGAGGAGTAACTTTCAACGATAAATAATAAATCAAACCAAACTTGACGTAAATAAATAAACAACGCCAGAGACTTTTCAAACTCTCCCCAAGAGATATCATCATTTCACGGCGTCAACGCTTTTGACGGCAGGAGTTGTACCTGAAGCAACGGGGACAGAAGCGTAGCGCATCGAGAAGCTTCTGGCTCCACCAAATCCAGCTTCGTCGTCGTCGTCTTTGTCTTCATCTTCGAAACTCAAAGTGTAACTCGCAGGATCGTATCGGAATTTGTCGCTATCGTCCCAGTCTCGGCCGCGGCGAGGATCGCGGTTGAATCGACGAATGAAAGTCTTCCACCGTGGCCCAGCCACGATCTCCGACCATTCTCGGATCTTTAGAAACGCTCGGACCCACCACCGTGTCTCCTCGTGGTTGCTGTGAATTCGATGCCACCAGGAGGATTTAGCGGTACTGTTGGAACAGCAAGACGATTCACCACCAAGAAGCGGATTCGCTTGTCCAACTTCCATTACAAAAGCTTGAAACAGAGTTTAAGGGTTTCGAATTTTGATGTAATAGAAGCCAATACGAAACTGTCTTTTTAGCTGTAATCAAACCATTGGCTGCATTTTTATATTTTAAACAATCATAGACTAAGTCATACATATGTCGAAAAAATTGTATTGCCCATCCCTACACTTAATTATATATACTTAGACCACATCTTTTTCATTAATTTCTAAAATTATGTTTTAACACATATTACAACTTTTGACCATCTATTAAGCAACGTAATTAGTCAAGAAATTGAATTACGATCATCATCTTCTGTTTTCGTTTAATTCTCTTTGTTTTTTTTGCCTCTATTGTTTCTTTGTATGGGTCTTTTAATCTTTTATTGGTTGATGGTTTTGATAATTATTAGACGATAAATACAAAATCAACTAAACTAATGTTTAATATTTCTCATTAATTAACTTTTGATTTTTCATAGAGACACAGTCTTTCTCTCTCTCCTATGTCCTATCCTTAATTGTCTCCAACATCGTCTCATTCTTCCACTCCCACAAATCTCTCCCTTCCATAACTTGAAACACACGCAAACCCAAATGAGCAACCTCCACCTCTACACCTCCGCACGCTTCCGCAATTTCCCGACGGCATTCTCTCTCCGTCACCACCACAACGACCCCAACAACCAACGCCGCCGATCCATCTTCTCCGAGCTCCGTGACAAAACCCTCGACCCTGGCGGTGACCTAATCACGAGATGGAACCACATTTTCCTCATCACCTGCCTCCTCGCTCTCTTCCTCGATCCTCTCTACTTCTATCTTCCCATTGTCCAAGCAGGAACCGCATGCATGTCCATCGACGTCCGTTTCGGCATTTTCGTCACATTCTTCCGAAACCTAGCCGATCTCTCCTTCCTCATCCACATTCTCCTCAAATTCAAAACCGCTTTTGTCTCCAAATCCTCTAGAGTCTTTGGTCGTGGAGAGCTTGTCATGGACCGCCGTGAAATCGCTATCCGTTATCTCAAATCTGAGTTTGTAATCGACCTAGCCGCCACCCTTCCTCTTCCTCAGGTTCAATTCAATTTATTTTTATTTTTCTAGGGCTCGCATCGGTAATATATGAAACATTTCGAAACCATTCTGCAATTTAACCGGTTACAAATCAAAGTCAAGAAGTATTGATATTATGTTCTGTTCTTTAAATTGAAATCTCTCTGTTTTTCTCAGATAATGATTTGGTTTGTGATACCAAATGCTGGAGAATTCAGATACGCAGCTCACCAGAACCACACACTTTCCTTGATCGTCCTTATACAATATGTGCCTCGCTTCCTCGTCATGCTTCCTCTCAACCGTCGAATCATTAAAGCCACCGGAGTCGCAGCCAAAACAGCCTGGTCCGGTGCAGCCTACAATCTCGTCCTCTACTTACTTGTGAGCCACGTAAGTAACCATTTCTCTTTCTCTACATGACTAAAATGTCTCTGTTTCACAACTTGGTTTTCACAACTTGGTTTCCCTTTTAGGTTCTTGGATCGGTTTGGTACGTTTTATCGATCCAGAGACAACACGAATGCTGGAGAAGAGAGTGTATTAAAGAGATGAATGCAACGCATTCACCATCTTGTAGTCTCTTGTTTCTAGACTGTGGATCGTTGCAGGATCCAGGTAGACAAGCTTGGATGCGGATCACTCGGGTTCTGTCAAACTGTGATGCACGCAATGACGATGACCAACATTTTCAGTTTGGTATGTTCGGTGATGCGTTCACTAATGATGTCACTTCCTCTCCTTTCTTTGATAAATACTTCTACTGTCTTTGGTGGGGTCTCCGTAACCTCAGGTTGGTTGATAATTCATCAGTCTTGAATCAAATAAAACCGCTGTTTTTCGCGACTTGTTAACTGATTCTTTTTTCTTGATTTGGTTTTGTGTAGTTCCTATGGACAGAGTCTTGCAGCAAGTACACTGAGTAGTGAGACTATATTCAGTTGTTTCATTTGTGTCGCGGGTCTCGTTTTCTTCTCCCATCTCATTGGAAATGTTCAGGTAAAATTCTTATAATATTTCGCTCCCTCCATTGTTTTTAATTAGGTCTAAGTGATTTCTCAAATTCTTGAAGAACTATCTGCAATCGACGACTGCTAGGCTAGACGAATGGAGAGTCAGAAGAAGAGACACAGAGGAATGGATGCGACATAGGCAATTGCCAGAAGAGTTACAAGAGCGTGTAAGGCGATTCGTCCAATACAAATGGCTAACGACTCGTGGAGTCGACGAAGAAGCCATTCTACGGGCTCTACCGTTGGATCTTCGCCGCCAGATCCAACGACATCTCTGTCTTGCCCTCGTTCGCCGTGTAAGCCACACCAGAATAACACCACATTTTGATTACTTTCAACTCAAGTAACAAATCCTAATTTTACGTTCTTTTAATTTTTCAGGTGCCATTCTTTGCGCAGATGGATGACCAGCTCTTGGATGCGATATGTGAGCGCCTAGTTCCGTCCTTGAACACAAAAGACACCTATGTTATACGCGAAGGCGATCCTGTGAACGAGATGCTTTTCATCATTAGAGGTCAGATGGAGAGTTCAACTACAGATGGTGGACGGTCAGGGTTCTTTAACTCCATCACGCTTAGACCAGGAGATTTCTGCGGTGAAGAGCTTTTAACCTGGGCTTTAGTGCCAAACATTAATCATAATCTCCCATTGTCCACGAGAACTGTGAGGACTCTCTCCGAAGTAGAGGCTTTCGCTCTCCGAGCAGAGGACTTGAAGTTCGTAGCTAACCAATTCAGACGTCTTCACAGCAAGAAACTCCAACATGCTTTCAGGTAATACTCGGATGGTCTCAAAAGCAGTAAAGTTTTCTTGCTTCACACGCTATAAGGTTTCTTGATCTTTATGTTTTGGCTCTGATCAGATACTATTCGCATCAATGGAGAGCATGGGGAACTTGTTTTATACAAGCTGCATGGAGACGATACATGAAGAGGAAGTTGGCAATGGAGTTAGCTAGACAAGAGGAAGAAGACGATTACTATTATGACGATGATGGAGACTATCAATACGAAGAGAACATGCCTGAAAGTAGTAACCACGGAGACGAAAACAGCAACAATAATCAGAATTTGAGTGCGACAATATTAGCGTCTAAGTTCGCAGCTAATACGAAGAGAGGTGTTTTAGGGAACCAAAGAGGGTCTACAAGAATTGATCCTGATGATCCAACTTTGAAAATGCCTAAAATGTTTAAACCAGAGGATCCAGGGTTCTTCTGATTTCTTGTTCTTGTTGTGACAAACGCATTTAGGATTTCAGACACTAACTTGATTTGCTGTAACCAATAGTCAGGTATACAAAGAAACATTATTACAGATTTAAGTAATTGTGTCGGTCGATAGATAATATGTCGATTTCTATCCAACGCATTCTTGGCTCCTACAGCATTTATTGGTGTTGACTTCTCACGTGATGGTTTTAGCTCACAACTAAAGTGGGCTATGAAACTCATAAAACACCTTGTTTTGAATACTAAGTACTGTCTAAACACATTTTAGGTGAATTAAAAAAAAAAAAAAATTATAAAGTGAAAGGGTAATGACCATATTTTTTGGTCAAAAATAATGAGAATGACACTTATATATAAAAGAAAATAAAAGGATATAGTCAATGACTCATTCCAATATTTGATTGGACGAAAACGATTTTTGATTACACACTACTTCAACTTGTATTTTTCTTCTTCTATATGATTTTGGGCAAACCAAAAAATATGTAATCCCTCTCAGTTTATTGCTCGATATTTTTAATATATAAAATGATTAAATCTCGTAATCGTATTAAAAACCATAGATTTGTTTTCATATATGCAATAATTTAATTTTTAAAAGAAGAATATGTGATTTTAATTGATAATGTGTCATATATATACATGGAATGAAATCTGAAAAGAAAATTTTAAAAAGGACATAGAATAAAATCACATTTTTTCCTCAACTTTAGTCGTTTTTACAAACTTTAATCATTCTCTTGATTAGTAACCTTTTGAGCAATAGAATAATGCCACTGTAATGGTACCAATTAAATCTTCTTATTAATAGCAGATGATTTTTTTCTTTATTTGAGGAAAGCTTTGAAGGGACAACAACATCACAATCCTTAAAGTAACCTATATTTACAAGAAAAGATGAAAAACATACCAAATAGATGACACAACTACCGCTTAGAAAACGACTTTACACCATAACTAGACAACTTTTGTATTTATGTAGATATTTTTTTTATTTTTATTATAATTTTCCACATTGCCACAAAAAATGATATCCGCAACTAATTAATTTTTATTTGAAGTTGGATCTAATATGAAAGAAAGAAAAAAAACCATATTGAATCATATATAGATGATACACATACCAAAAAATCAGAGATCACGGCAAGACAACTTTTTGTCTTATGTTTTTATTTGTCAACGTTTTTCGTTGTCTTACTATTTTATTATTATTTTTCCTCGAATCTCATTTGTCTAATAAGGACCATATTTATTTTTTTCTTATGTACAATAAAATTCACTTCTTTTGCCTTTGATATTAGAAAACGGACAAACTAGTCTAGTCAAATAGAGCCATTCAAAGTACGGCATCACAAACAAGAGAGTATAAGTTAAGCGACATGTGTTAGAGATTTCCGGAGATCTCAACCGTTGGATTCTTTCTCCTTCAAATCATATTATAAGTCCCATCACAGAGAGAGAGAAGAAGAGGAGGAGATTCCGAAGAAAAGATAAGAACTTTGACGTTTTAAGCTTGAGTGTCTTCTTGTTGCATCCATGGCGGCTCGTAGAGTGTCTTCTCTTTTATCTCGATCTTTATCAGCTTCCTCTCCCTTACTGTTTCGTTCTCAAGGTATCTTACCCAAACAAACCAATCACTGTTCGATCTCTCTGTTGAATCTTCCACAGTATCTCCATGTTTCTACTTTGTCACTAAACTTATGCTGACTTCTACAAATTAATGCTATTTTGCAATGAAATAGACTGGAAATTAGATTCTTTGATTTGTGGGTCTATGTTGAATCTAGGTTATGATGTGTAATGATGATAATTTTCAGGGAGAAATTGTTACAATGGAGGGATCTTAAGGAGATTTGGAACCTCTTCTGCTGCTGAGGAAATCATTAACCCTTCTGTTCAAGTTTCTCACACACAGCTTCTCATAAATGGGAACTTCGTTGACTCTGCTTCTGGTGATTAAAGTTTTCATTTTTATTTGTCCCTCATGTAGAGGAGTTGGTAGAAAAGAAGCAAATTTTGAGTGTTGAGTTCCATGAGCTTTAATAGTTGATATTTGGATTTTGGGGATTTAGGTAAGACGTTTCCGACTCTTGATCCGCGAACAGGCGAAGTCATTGCGCATGTAGCTGAAGGCGATGCTGAAGATATCAATCGAGCGGTGAAAGCTGCAAGGAAGGCCTTTGATGAAGGACCTTGGCCTAAAATGAGTGCTTATGTATGTATATAATTACTCTTCTTGAGTCTTAAATTTATGAACTTTGATGTGATATGGATGGTCTCATCTGGTTATGATTTGGGTTTCAGGAAAGGTCAAGAGTAATGCTGAGGTTTGCAGATTTGGTTGAGAAACACAGCGAGGAGCTCGCGTCTCTAGAGACATGGGACAATGGCAAGCCTTACCAACAATCCAAGACCGTAGAGATTCCAATGTTTGCAAGATTGTTCCGTTACTATGCCGGTATCATATAACGAATTTAAATCTTGACAATTCTGGTGAAATTTTCTTGCTTTTGGTGTTGATTTCTGTGAATGAACATTCTTGGTTTTGCTTTGATGTGTAGGATGGGCGGATAAGATTCATGGACTAACAGTTCCAGCTGATGGAAACTATCATGTTCAGACATTGCATGAACCGATAGGTGTTGCTGGACAGATCATTCCGTGGAATTTCCCGCTTTTGATGTTTGCTTGGAAAGTTGGTCCTGCTCTTGCTTGTGGTAACACCATTGTCCTTAAAACCGCTGAGCAAACACCTCTCACGGCTTTCTATGCCGGCAAACTTTTGCTTGAAGTAAGATACATGCGATTAATTATTTTATCGCCTTCTCTAGGTAAAGAAAAACTTTTATGAGTAACAATGTTTCTTGTGAAATTTATGATAGGCGGGTCTTCCTCCTGGTGTTCTGAATATAGTTTCTGGATTCGGTGCAACAGCAGGTGCTGCCCTCGCGAGTCACATGGATGTGGACAAGGTAGAGATAGTTATTTACTTGCTCTTAACTTCTTTAAGTAACTAAATCATCTTACACTGTTCTTTTTGCTTCAGCTTGCTTTTACAGGATCGACTGATACAGGCAAAGTTATACTTGGATTGGCTGCTAACAGCAACCTTAAGCCGGTAACTCTGGAACTTGGAGGGAAATCACCGTTCATCGTATTCGAAGATGCTGATATCGATAAAGCTGTAGAGCTTGCACACTTTGCCCTCTTCTTCAACCAGGTTTTGTCAATAGTAGAATATATACCTTGAGCTAAGCTGACTCATTTTCTTAGCTAGTTCTTGAGATAATGTTGAGTAATGTTTTTGTAGGGGCAATGTTGCTGCGCGGGGTCTCGGACATTTGTTCATGAGAAAGTGTATGATGAGTTTGTTGAGAAATCAAAGGCACGCGCATTGAAACGTGTGGTTGGTGATCCTTTCAGGAAAGGCATTGAACAGGGTCCTCAGGTAACACATACGCATTCTTTGCATTATAAAGCGTTTAGCTTTTCTACTTTGTTGATTGGTTTTGTGATTTCCGTTTTTCTTAAAAACTTTGTATAGATTGATTCGAAGCAATTTGAGAAAGTGATGAAGTACATAAGGTCAGGTGTCGAAAGCAATGCTACTCTTGAATGTGGTGGTGATCAGATTGGAGACAAAGGTTACTTCATCCAACCTACTGTCTTCTCTAATGTTAAGGTAAAAAGAAAGCTCTTCTAAGCCGTCTTTAATGTTCTTCTGTTATCGATTCTCCATGGCATTAATCTCGAACGCTTGATCAAATACAGGATGACATGCTTATCGCTCAAGACGAGATTTTCGGTCCAGTCCAATCAATCTTGAAATTCAGGTAAAGGGAGCTTACCAATAAATGTGCAATTAGACTTACCACGTTACTCATGATGGGAGATGTAATTAGTAGAATAGTAGGTAAACCGAACTGAGAAAATCGATCCAACTTGGTTAAAATGGCTTTAGTTATTAGATATTCTACACTTCTTTTTGAAGAATAATGATATATTCAATTAAAAGCTGAAACCATAGTAGCTTTGGTTTAACCCTGGCTCCTAGCTTTCTCTATTTGAAAAACTGAAACTGAAAATGTGATGATGTTTGTTGATATTGGGTTCAGTGATGTGGATGAGGTGATAAAGAGGGCGAACGAGACGAGGTACGGGCTAGCCGCAGGGGTTTTCACAAAGAGTTTGGACACCGCAAACAGGGTTTCGAGGGCTTTGAAAGCTGGTACCGTTTGGGTTAACTGCTTCGACGTCTTTGACGCAGCCATTCCTTTCGGTGGTTACAAGATGAGTGGCAATGGGAGAGAGAAAGGCATATACAGCCTCAGTAATTACTTGCAGATCAAGGCAGTCGTCACTGCTCTTAATAAGCCTGCCTGGATCTGATCTCTGGAGTTTGGTTTATTCATAAATGCTCAAACAAAAGAAAAAGACTCTATAAAAAGTTACCATAGTAATAATAATTAAGATCATAGTAATAATTAAGATCATGGTTTGTAACTTGAGTAACGGATTGTGTATTCAGGTTGTCATTGTTTTTTTTTTTTCCGTATCACATAGCTGTTATTACACCGAGATAGGCCTGGGCATAATATCCGAACCGAACTTGACCTGAAAAACTCGACCTGAACCCGAACCGAAGTTTTAAAATACCCGAACAGATTCTAAATTTCATAACCCGAAAACCCGAACCGAACCTGAACCCGAACAAGTACCCGAACATATCCGAAATCTAAATACATAGATATAATATATTAGTAATATTTATACTTGTAATAACCTAAGTGTCTAAATTATTCGGATATTAAGATATTTTTGGTTATTTTAACTACTTTTGGTTAGATTCAGGTATAAAATACTTAAAATTTATAGATTTTTTGAGTATTTTCTATACTTTGCATAGAATCGGATACCAATTTTTTAATATTTGGATACTTCAGGTAAATCCGAATCCGAAGTTTTAAAATATTTGAACGGGTCTTAATTTTCTAAACCCGAAAAATTCGAACCTGAAAAACCGGACCCGAACCTGACCCGAAAATCCAAACGCCCAAGCCTACACCGAGACGTGTTAATTTTGGTTTCGCAACTGAAAATTGCAACGAAATATAGAAAACATATATCTATGAAAGTAAAGAGTAATATATATATATATATATATATATATATATATATATATATATCTTAAAATTTTTAAACTGAACAATTAATTAAAACTTTTTAAATATCAATAAAATATATTTAAATTTAGTTGTTAATTATCTAAACTTGGTTTAAAACAGCCATTAGATTCAATGTACAGTACTAATACTAAAAAAAATTCCAAGTATTAACAAAATTATCTTTAAACAGTATCTTTCTAGAGTTAAATATCAACACAAAATATTATTCCAAGTATGATAAAAATTACTCTTTTTAAAAGGTTCATTTTTTCATATTTGGCATAGAATCTCAGATAAATATATACTTCCTTTTGCAAATATTTATACTAATTTTGAATATTTATTTATTATATTTCTTAATAAATTTCGATAAAGTTTTCCTATTTTAATAACATTTGTAATATTTGTAAATAGGGACATATATTTACATGAACCTACTACGATTAGTATAAAACAAATTAAAATGACATCAAAATGACCAAATCGTGATTTTAACTTCTTCCTCAGCCAGAAGTTTTCCGTTTCTTTTCTTCATCGCAATTTTGCAGGCAGCTACTTTAGCCTCCAAATCCCTCCTTTTTCTCTCCTTTCTCACTCACAATCAGCTCACGATTTCGAGAATCGATTCAACCATTTTGATCTTCAATCTTTCTTAGGGTTTCTCCTTCTTCTCTCTCTCGGATTTTAGCTCTTCTCGACTATTACTCACCTCTCTCATGGCGATGAGAGGTGTCGATTTCAAGTGGTGAGCTCTCTCTCTTCAATCGTCTTTCACTTGGGTCGATCTAAAGGAGACGGATTTCGAATTTGGATTATCGATTCCCATTTTCGAGTTTTCTGATTTTGTAAAATTGTGCAGGTACGATGGGTTCTTCTTGTCGATGCTTGCGACTAGTGTGTATCCTTATCTATCTCTATGCTACTTGGACTCTGTCAAAATTGTTATTTTTTTTTCTGTTATAACTTTTTTGTTCTTGCTTGGATCGAGCTGATAATTCTCAGTCTCGGAGATGATTCTTCCACTTTTCGATATAAGATATTTGAAGATCGAGATACAGTTAGGTATTGCTGGGTTAATCAGAAGAAAAAGTTTATTTCTTTTGCTCTCTTGAAGATCCGATATTATTAGTTTTGGTTCTTGTGGGATAGGTGAACTTAGTCGAAATCTTGTACTGGATTTTGTTTTATTAGGGTTTAAGGTGTTCTAGATTTCCTCTCCATTTCGTTTCCTTAATGGTTTTTTTTAGAATCATTGTAGCTGTCAACTGGAACAGATATCGAGCGTGCGAATACCCGTTGCATATATGGATTGTGGTAGGTTCTTCAGTTCAATATTTGTGTTGCTCTTGCTTATTATCAGCTTCAGTTTCTCTTGTGTTCGTTTTCTTGGAATCTTTAAAATTTTGTTGTGTTGCTCACGGTTTGTTTGTCTCTATGACTTCAGGTCGATTACACCACCGTGTTTTTATTCCGCGTCTTCATGTTTGTTGACAATGGTCTTGCTGCTGGACTTGGCTTGTAAGTTCCATCTAAATCTCCCTAGTCCTAGAGTCACAGTGAATTTGGAGGTTTTTACTTTTTGGAATCTTCCCCGGTTTCCCAGAGTTGTTATCTGAAGGATAAAGTTTTGCGTAATATTTTCTTTGCTATCCGTATTCTTTAGATAGGCATGTAATTCATTGAGAAGGATTAGATTATATGCTAATTGGGAAGCATAGAATTTCTTTGTAGCTCCAGTCGAATAGGCTCTTCGAGTTGCAAGCTTGATCTTAGAAGTAGCTAGTTGCAACGTTTCTCTATCTCTCTAGGTAGCAAAGTTTTATGAATATCTGGTTATTTATGTCACATTGATTTCTGGTATGAACATCTGTTAGGGATTTTGGAAGTCAACAGCGGAACGCCATGTTTTGTGGGAGAGTGGTTGTCCTGTCTGTCCTATCTCTGTTGCTCTATCCTTTTCTGTGGGCTTGGACTGTAATTGGTACACAATGGTTTACAAGGGCGAAAACTTGTGTAAGTGGTTTTTTACGATCATGGCATATGATTATTCTTGATGGAAATCTGTTGCTGAGTTAGTATGTATTCTCTTGCGATAGTTACCTGAAGAAGGCCAGAAATGGGGTTTTCTCATTTGGTTGATGTTCAGCTACTGTGGCCTCCTCTGCATTGCTTTCATCTGTGTCGGAAAGGTAGATTTATATCAAGCTGTTTTTTGATGGTTTGAAGAGGGCACCCCACTTAACGGAGTTTACTTGATAGTGGTTGACACGAAGACAGGTACACTTATTACGTGCTCAGCAGGGAATTCCGATTTCAGAGTTCGGGGTAAGTTCCAGGATCCGCTTATTCAACTTCAAGTCAAGGAGATATTTTTTGGAGTTTGTCATTATGATTTTTGTTTCTCTGACACCTCTGAGTAAATTTTCAATGTCTGTTTCTTGTGCCCAGATTTTAGTTGACATGATTAGGGTACCTGACTGGGCATTCGAAGCCGCTGGCCAAGAGATGAGAGGCATAAGTCAAGATGCTGCTACATATCATCCTGGACTTTACTTGACTCCAGCCCAGGCAAGTCTGGTCATTTATTCTCAGCACGCTATGCATTGAGTAACTTTTCTTAAATAAATATGCATCGAAGCTACTCTACCCGTGGTTTCAATCTCTCTCATCCAGGGAAGCAAATACTCATCAATTGTGTTTTCAGTATATGATGGAAATATTCTGTAGAGAGGCGGAAATCTTCTTTAACAATGATGTCGAAGAAGATATCATTGGCAGGATGTGATTTTGTCCAAATTTATATTTATCATATCTCTGTCTCATGATTCCAAAACATCTAATGTTTGATGCTTAATGCTTTGATAAACAGACGGAAGCTGTCGAGGCACTCATTCAAGAACTTCCTAAGTTCAGGTTAAAAGCTGTGCCAGATGACTGTGGTGAATGCTTAATCTGCTTAGAGGAGTTCCATATTGGCCATGAGGTACTAAACATCACTAGCTTTGTTTCGATGTTGTGCTTGCGTGCTTTTCTCGTCTCAATGCTTTCCTTAGATGAGCGGAATATGTCTGAATTTTACAGGTTAGAGGTTTACCTTGCGCCCATAATTTCCATGTGGAGTGCATAGACCAGTGGCTGCGTTTAAATGTGAAATGTCCCCGTTGCCGGTGCTCGGTTTTCCCAGACCTCGATCTCAGTGCATTATCCAACCTCCAGAGCTCAGGAACAGAACAACCTTCACAAGTAAACACAGAAACAACAGAAGCTCGGTACATAAGAAGCCAACCTCAGAGCGAGAGCTACTTCTTGAGAGTTCAATCCTTAATTCACCCAGTCCACACAGACACCGCTCTGGAGACTGCAGAGAACGGTGGAGTTCCTCCTGTCTTGACCGATCTATCTCCATCTCGGAGATGAGAGAAAGAAATGACCCTATGGAAATTTTACTCAATACTAACTCTCGACTGATTTGCCTGCCTACCCACCCTCTCTCATAAAAAGTTGAACATTCTTAAAATGTAAATAAATTGGGGTTTAAAGAAGAGAAAAACCAATCCTGTGTTTACATTTGGTAAGAATGGAGAATTGTTGATCATGTCCAAACTCTTTAATATTCAGGAAATTTTTACTTTAGTTCTGGTTTCCAGGAAAAAAAAAAAAAAAAAAAACAATAGAAACAATTTTTCTATCTTATATACCCAAACCATACGAATAAAATTCACTGATGTCATCAACATATTTTACCTTCGAATTTATTTTGGAATTAGTTTATAATTTGCATTCGTTACTCTAAATATCACTTTTGGCCTAATCTTTCTTTTTGTTTTTAATAAACTATAAGAAGTTCCTATCTTTTGTTTTTGTCTAAAAATCTTTACCAGTTGAGCTATTGACACTTGGTTCCTAATCCTTTGGTTAAACGAACAACTTTTTTATGCACCAAAACTTTCGTGACGATGGAGATCTCAAGGGTTTGTTGGTTTTGTTTTCCGCTTTATACAACTTTTTTTTTTTTCTGCATAGTTAGCTTTATTTATTGAAGGACTTGGAAATAGATATAGTATAATGGTTTTAAATATTAGAGTTTTCATAGTAACTGAACCGAACTTTTATTTATTTAGGTAACTAAGTGACACAATCGTAATCAAAAAGCAGTCAAGATTTTATAATATATCTATTGATCAATATAACTTTCACACTTTACATAATTATATTGCTTCGTTAAATAGCACGGTAGAACATCATGAGCCATGACTAAACTACATGCTTTTTTTTTTTTTTTTTTTTTTTGACGACTAGGAGGTTCTGATCCCGTAGGCCCGTACATTCTCAGGGCGAGGCCCAAACCATGTAATATAACTTTTCTTTGGAGAGCGACTCCTCCCAACGTGAATCGAACCCGTAACCCCCACGGTCCCTACATTATCGGTAACCAAGGGGCTTAACCATTAGACCAACTCATCGTTGGTTAAAGTACATGCTATTATATTATGAATGTAATTTTTAAAAGAAACAAGAAACATTAAACGTTTATATGAATAAATAACATACTAGGTTTTTCTAACACTCTATTACATAAATAAATATCATTTCATATAACAAAACTAGATTTTTTATGCTCAAAACCTATGCAAAAAAAAATAAAAATAAAATTGGGAAGAAATTCAAAAACTCTAAAATAAAACCTACCGTGATCTCTAATTTAAACATCAGGAGATTGTTCACTGTTATACATAAACAAGATTTTCCATTGGAAACATAACTTTTATTATTATTATTTCTTATAACTAAGAAAGAATATATATACATTCTGCTGTCAAAAAAAAAAAAACTACCATGTGCAGTATATATATATGTATGATAATACATTGGTACACGCGTTGTATTCTTTCAGTAATTTAATTTAGCCAAACTTAAAGAAAAAAATAGATAAATAAATTACAGGTTTCATAGAAACGTATATATATTTGTATATATATTCATTTATATACGGCTACGTACGAAATACGCCGACCATCTAAAGTAAACGTCTAAACATGAATCAAAAATCTTCACATAATCTCCTCCACCCAATATGTGTTTTGTATACATTTATATAAACACGTATCTCTTATTCTCTTTTCCATTCGTCAAAATTTGAAGTTTTCCTTCAAGTAACACACGATCTCTTGCTACAAAATAAATACAATAATCAAGCAAATGGTTTAAAAGCAGAAAAAAGAAAGCAAAAACTTTGAAAGCAGAAGGTAACTTACGAGGAAGCAGAGAAGGATACAAGCGGCTGCACCGGGGAATAATGCGTACCAAAAGTTCAGTTTATGCAACTTTGCCCCGTCTATGAACAGTAGTGGTAAACTCGCCGCTGTTGTGTTTATTCCAAAAACATATATATGCAAACATCAATCAACTATTTTCCTCGATCCCTTACAAACGATCGAGTATATATTTCAAAAAAAAATTCCTAGGATAGTAGGATGATTAAATATGCTCAATATTTTAGTGACGAAATTTTTAAATTTCCACACAAAAAAGGAGAGTAGAATTGAATTACCAGGCGGATGGTTGGCACGAGTGATGACCATGAAGGCGATGGAAGCGGCGAGAGCCGTACTGCGGGCAAGCCAGCCTGGCCCAAAGACTGAGAATGCCAACACTCCAATGGCTGCACAGCCTATTTGAGCCGTGAACATATTGTATTTCTGAAATAAATAAACATGCACCCATCACCATGTTGCTAGCATTTTAAGGCTTCATTTCTCGCAATTAGCATTTCAATCGCAAGTTAGAAAAAGCGTTTAGGAAATTACCCGAGCAGCAGGAGAAGAAGGAGTGATGAAGAGAATGGCAGAGACGGCACCAAGTGGTGCAACCGACATTGAGATCCCTCTAGGGTTTAGCATTTGATCTATTCTTCCCAGTATCGCCATCGCCGCAAAGGCTCCTTTTCGATATAATCATACCAAAACTTGACAAATTAACACTTAATATTTGGTTTGACTAATTCTGTTAGAGATTGAAGTTTATTTTTTTTTTTTGAATCTAATGTTAAATTATATTCAAAAGAAAAAATAAACGGTTTTACAACTTGTGCAACGGTTTGCTTAAAGAGAAAAGTTGAGTGAACAGAAATTTAAAAATTAAGGTTTAGCTTTGATCCAAGTTTGGTAGGCTGCTTCGAATCGCATGTCACCTTTGATGCGAATCGCCGAGATCCGATTCCTTACTTGCTTATCAATCCATGCAATTGATTCGATTATTTTGCATGATGTTTGAAAATTTTGATAACATGACTAAGTTATACTATATAGATGTTCCCTTTTCATCAATTGACATATTTCTAACCAAATATAAATTAAGCATAATTTATTTATATAACATAGATCGACGACGACTATTTCCGAAAATGTATATAACCTTATGAAGTTTATAAAGAATTTCCTTACACTCGACATGTAAATATCATACGAATTAATAAATAATTAATCATGTTTCTTACTAAATTCAAGAATTGGTCAACCTCGAACAGTTGGATTCATATATACCCTAGCTAGGCCCCTAAGATCAATAGCTATTTGGTCGTTAGAAGAGACAATATCTCTCTCTCTCTCTCTCTTCCTTAGTCTTCGGACAAAGAAAATTGCCGTACGTCTACTGACTTTTATAATATGTTTTCTCATTTATATGTTCTTATTTTTATATCTCTTATCCTTAATGTTTTAATTTTTTCGAATCTCATATGGGATTCGTAGTTTGCTTGATATGAAACGAGTTTCATAAACTTAGAATCCAAATCAAGAAAATTAAATTAATATCAACGAAAACGTATATATAAGACTATATATATATGTTAAAAATGAGCATATCATCATTTCAGTGCATAGATTAGTGTAGGATTCATTTTAACTACTAATTACCTGCTGCAGGCCAGATGACGTCACTCAGCGACGGAGCCACCGTGGTCTTTTCGGGCTTCCAAGTTTCCCAAGAAACCGCCGGAAAATCATCAGAGGAAGCCACCGGCATAGACACGCCGGCGCTTTTGCTTACTGGCCAACGATTGCTTGACGACCTAAGGCTTCTCATATGCCTCACAGATTCATCAATACATAAATCATAAGAAGAGACTCCTAAGAAATTATGCCTTTTGAAACCAACGGTTCCCATTGAAGACGGAATAATAAGATTCCGGCGATGAAGCTGTAAGTGGCCGGAAGATAGAGGCTTCACCGGAAGCGAAGCCATGGTTGTTGGGAGGGTTTTGATGTAAATATCTCAACAAAGAATATCAAAAATATGTTCCCTTCTTTTCTTTTCTAATTGGGGATGACAGAGAGAGAAATAGAGAAGTGGACAATGATATAACAAACACTGAGATTTGTGTTAATGCATATATTATATGGTGTGACTATGTCTGAGTTCACACCAGTTAAAATGAATGATATTCAAGTCATATAATAAAAGGTGGGGAGATTTGTTTTTGACACTATAAAGGGAATGCTACCGTTTATGGAATGGAAAGTAGAATGATTTTTCTTTAGTAATTTAATTATATAGTTTTGATATTGTTGACCATAAAAAGAAGAATGCTAGCAGTTTACACTTTATTCAACAATCTTATATTGGTTAAATAAAATATATACAAAAATTTATTTACTTTACAGTAGTACTGTTTTAATTATAAAAATTAATCATCGATTTTTATTGAATTAATAGTAAGTTCAAAAGAAATGATCAGTATACTTAAGATATTGGTTTTAACCTAAAAACCACACACATACATAACGTTTTATCTAGTTATGTTTGTTGTTCGACATACAAGTTACGCTATTTTGTCAACAATTTTCACAACTCTCTTCAAAAACCACTAAAATGCCGACTTTAATTCTTTTTTCCGCCAAACCATTATTATTAAGCTGATATTATTTAACTGATTAAGAACAAGGACCTACATGTATTATAGTAGTAATTACTAATTAATAGAGGAATGACTTTATATATAAAATGATAGATGCAAGTGGATATGCCAAAAAAAAAAAGCAGTGGCTTTATAAGAGGTGGATGGGGTTCAAAGGTGAGTCTGTTTGATCAGTCGAAAGGTCATTGGATAACAAGAGTGGCTTCATATAATACTTAGTTTATTTCTACTCATTGTTATTTTAATTACGTATACTAGAGATTTGTATTTGTATTTCTGTTATGTATATGGATGGAAGTTGTCGCCTTCACATGCATACACATGTTCCATGTTTCTAATCGTGAACACCAATCATAATTCATAAATTATAACAATTGAAATATATATTAATTAGGTAATAGAAATACGTTTTAAAATAACCCAAAATTTGTGTCCTCTCTCAAAGAGGAACGAATCTTCTATTAGCGGTTAAAAAGGTCAATCAATTGATTGATTCTTTACTCATTATAACTTCTTATAAAGTAATTCACTTTCGTAGAGACCAAAAGAAGAACAAAATTTATGATAAGATTAGTAATTTAGTAAGTACTTATTTGGAGAAAGCAGACAAGCCCAAGTCTTTGGGTTTGTACTTTGTACCTTTAAACCTAGCTATACGGCTATATCAATCACATAGAAAAACATATAAAGGGAAGCAAAACTAAGTTCTTAAGATACTGATTTTTAAGCCCAAAGATTCTGCTACAAAGCCCAGTTATATTGTCGACCATTTTCTCTGACTAGTTTACTTAAACGTATAGAAGAAAAAACTTTAGTAAAGTCAACAAAAAATTGGAGGAAGAAAAATCTTGAGACAATTCAACAAAATAATCTATAAAAACTTCATGCTTTCCACGGACTAATCTAAACAATGCTTTCATTTTAGAAAACCCTTATTAAAGCATCATGGATATCTTTTGTAGATTGCTTGAACGAGATTGCATCAATTGATATATGCCAAGGAAAAAAATACTTAATCGATAAACTAGAAAGATTTTGGACGAAAGACGATGTACAATATCCTTTTTATCTTACTTGTAAGACTAAGACTTAACTGGTCAGATTGGTAAAACCATTGGAAGAAATTGGTAGAATTATAAAGAAGAAAAGAGAGAGAAGAAAACGTTACTTTAGAAGAAATTTTTTCTCTTTTTTTTATGTGATTTTGAAGAAGGATAAAATCTTCTACTTCATTCTACTTTCCAGTTTTTTTAGTAAAAATATATTTATTTTCATTTTCTTTTGATTGGTGAGAATACAGATGAATTCAGAAGAAAAAATATATACTTTTACTAACAATTAACAGCCAGTTAATTTCCTTTTATTTGAATAATCGATTTTATTTTAAATTTATTTATTAGACCCGTTTCTTTTCTTTTCAAGGTTGATTTAAATATCTAATCGTTACGGTTGGGCAATATACTTTTAAAAAATTGGGAGGTGTTTCGTTTAGTTTTAAAAACATATGCAGTAGGCGTTGAACGAAAAAAGTAATTACTGTTATAAACCATATGGATGGACTCCATAACCGGCCCATGGCCCATTAGGGTTTTACCTTATTCTCTGTATCCTGCTATTATCCTTGTATATATATCCCTTATACTATTAATGAAAGACACAGTTCACAACACGTTATCAGCACGATAGCCTCTTACCCTAAAAATTAAAAAATCCCGAAACCCTAAATCTCTCTCACAAAAACCAAAACCAAAACCCTAGCTGTCTCTGCAAACAAAATTTTAAACTCTATCGAGATAAGTTTTCTGTTCATATTTGTTTCTGCACGAATTTTGCACGGATTATCTGTTATCAATCATGTCTGTATTTCTGCACGAACTTTGCACAGATGATCTGTTATCTATTATGTCTGTAGTTTTGCACGAATTTTGCACGGATTATATGTTATCAATTTTGTCTGTATTTCTGCACGAATTTTGCACAGATTATCTATTGTCAATTATGTCTGTAGTTTTGCACGAATTTTGCACGGATTATATGTTATCAATTTTATCTGTATTTCTGCACGAATTTTGCACAGATTATCTGTTGTCAATTCTGTCTGTAGATTTGCACAAATTTTGCACGGATTATTTATTATCAATCCTGTCTATATTTTTGTACGATTTATGCACGGATTATATGTTATTGATTCTGAACTGTTTTATGCAGTATATTACAGAAACCCTATTTTTTTTTCTTTTTACTAATGTAATAGCCATGTTTCTATGAGCAAAATTTTGAGTTTCTCAGGAATCAGGATTATATATATTGAGATTTTGTAGGAGGTCCCAACCAGCTAAGAGACATAACTGTTTCCAATCTCCGTATCAGATCTCGGGTCTCTGTTTCAGTTCTCCAATTAAGATAAGTGCTATTTATTTATTATGCTTTATATACATGATCCAATTAAAGTTTGATAAGATAAAATTTGCATGAAAATTGGCACATGTGATTTGATTTATGATTGGAGAATTAATTGAGAAGTTAGTGAATGGAAAGATGTTTAATGGCATGATAGATTGAATGTTTTAATATAAACCCTAGGTTAAACCGAAAGTAAACCAAAACCCTAAATCCTAGGTTAAACCGGTTTAATAAACCCTAAGTCACGGTTTAAGATCAAGCTTCCTATAAATGGAAAGTTTCCAGAAATAGAAAGTTCCATATAAAGAAAGTTTACAGAAATAGAAAGTTTCGTAAAATAGCAAGTTTCCCAAAATAAAAGGTTTCCTAAAATAGCAAGTTTCCCAAAATGGAAAGTTACCAAAATAGGAAACCCCTTCATAAGGAAATATTCCAAAACCCTAAAGTACATAATTGTTTAGGATTTCTTTCTAGATGAGAAATAGAAATTTTCCATAAAAGGAAAGTTCCATATAAGGAAAGTTTCCATAAATAGAAAGTTCCATACATAAAACCGAAATCCTAGCAAAAACCCTAGTACTATAAATCGCGGATGCTAAAACCCTAAAACTTAACCGCGAAATCCTAATATCCTAATCTAGTATGATCCGATTGTTTGGTTGTTGCATACTAGATCAATCTTCTAGGGTTGATTTCATCCATATATATATATATATATATATATATATAACATGATTGTTTAGAAAACACTTGCTGAAGACAAGCATGGCTCGGTCTTAAATACCGCATGACTTGGTCTAACCGATTACATGAGTTCTCATTTAACTCTATATATTATAAATATCAGAAATCAACTATTATGAATACACGCACTCAATGCCTCTAGTGACAATTATTTACAATGGGTTTTGGACACTGAGATTGTCCTAAAGGAAAAAGGACTTGGTGAATCTATTGTGGAAGGAAACAATGTCACCAGAAGAGAAAGATATAAGGCGATTACTAACATACGCCATCACCTCAATGAGAGTCTTAAAATCAGTACCTCACTATTAAGAATCCTCTGGACCTCAGGACAGAGTTAAAAAAAAAAAAAAAAAAAAAACGGTGCTATTACCCAAAAGCCTGATTCGATCGAAAGAATCTCAGATTCCAGGAATTCAAATCCATGAATGAGTATAACTCAGCACTATTTAAAATAGTGTCAATACTGAGATTCCGTGGTGAGGAAGTTACTGAGAATAACTTGCTAGAGAAAGCATTCTCGACCTTTCACACAAACAATATATTGCCTCAGCAACAATATCGTGAAAAAGGTTTTTACCACATATGCAAGTCTAAACTCTTGTTTTTGGGGAGGACTCCTCTGTAGAGAGTGCTAAGGAGTGAGGCTTTGGAGAAACCGTGATGAGAACATTGATTCTGATATGCTACTTGCTGAGCAAAACAATGAGTTATAAATAGTGAAATGAGACCTCCTGGTCCTACCCCATTATCAGAAGCCCGTTGGGCTGAAGAGCCTAAAGAGCCTAAAGAGACTAAAGAGTCTAACCACGTCCAAAGAGATAAGTATCATGGCCACAGTCATGGTAAATGGAATGGACGTGGTAGAAGTGTAAATTATAATTTATATGATCAAGGAAACCATTAATATGGTTAAGGCCACCGACCCGACTTTGGTCGTAATCGAGGTAGGCCACGGTATACCCAAACCACAACACTCAAATAAACTTGTTTGCCACTGATGAGGAATGGGGAAACCATTGGACTAAGACGTGCATGACACCTAAGCATCTCGTTGATCTCTATCAAGAGAGTTTGAAAAGAATCAAGAAGCTCATTTAGTTCATCACGATGGTGAAGAAGATTTCGACCATGAGATAGATGATTATGAGAATTCAATAAACGAAATATCTAAAGACATGGTTCATTAGCCAAATTGCGGGTATAGCTAAATTTAGTGAAAGCTAAGGGTAGGCCCATGGCAGGCCCATATTCCCAAGGGCACGCATCCTCAGATGCTTCA